GTTTATATTAGCCTAGGAACAGTCCTTCTAGCTACCATTTAAGGCATTTTCGGGTAGTGAGAATCAGTTTCCATCAAGTGATTTCTGCACGCATGGTATATGGAAGACACCCATTTGTATTTTAGAATATATACATAGACATAAGGCTTACTGTATTATGGACTGCCGTCAAGACGCCGGTCTGATTTTTAATAGTATTATAAGTGTCTCTAATGTTGTAATTTAACTTTCTTCTCTATTTTTTACAATATTTTCCCCTGCTATGGGCTAGTCCAGGTGGGAGTAAATGAATAAACAGACTAGTCTAGACGGGTAAAAGGACGTACGGACTAGTCATAATGATGCTTCAGAATATATTGGACTAGTCTTGACGGATAAAAGGACAAACGGACTAGTCAGAACGATGCTCTGGAATAGCTTGGACCAGTCCAGACGGACTAGTCACAATAGATATGGAAGACGTATTAGACTAGACTTGACGGGTATAGCAGACTTTTTGGACTAGTCATGTCGCCCGTCCTCCCCCTATTTTTTTGCTCACTTGGGATAATGGCAAGCTTCTGTGATACAGGTGTGAACAGCGTTTAGTAAAGTAGCTTCTGTAGATGTTCGCCAAATGCGAGATTGTTGCTGTCAAATAGTATGGTTGTTTTTGAATCTTTGTACAAGTGTGTATATGTAACGTTTAAGATCAGTATGGTGGATCACTGCCACAAGATATGTCTTTTGAGTATGTTTTTATATTGTTGGAATAATTCGATAAAATTATGTTAAATCAAGCTCGCATCAAATTTAGCTTCGTTTTTGCCTTTTATGAGCATTCTGCATTTAATGACCAAACTCTCTCTGCGAGTGACACTTGATTATTGTTTTGCTTCGTGGAAGAAGTCAATTGAATTTTGATGGCGCTGATAAAATTTTGTTGTATCGTGCAAATTTATAGCAATTGTAATTGCGGTAGTTCGAGATGTACTACTGTTAGTGATTCTTTTCTTTGTTTATTGTAATGGGTGTTAAACTAAACTAGATTGATTGTGTTTCACAATTACAAAGCATAAATTCATTGAGCACGTTACGTCTCATATGCAGTTTGGTGTATTTTAATTGTGAAGAATTCCCTACCTATTGAACAGTGAACATTAATCCATTGAATTGATAATCGAGAAGGTTTACGTTCGTACGTTGTATGAAAGAATTATGTAGCAATTGCTTATATCTTCAACACATCTTAGAAGCTTTTACTTTTTTCTCTTACAGGAAAGCTGTATATTTTTCAGTTCTACTTATGATGTGCTATCAAATCAATATGAAAATAATATTTTGATAGAAAATTGAGTTGATCTCTCAAGTTTGCACTTACTATTACAATCGCTTTCATATCAATCTGCGTAATACTAGACTAAATTTTATTCATAAAAACAATATCTACCGTTTCAGCTGCCGAGATTAATCAAGAGGAAATTAATTAAATTAATTTCTTAAAAGAAAATTTATCATTGAAATTTTTATAAAGCATTTCTGTGAAAACATTTAATCAAACATCTTTTATCAGGCATTTTCCGTTGCACCAATATTTAAAAGTGAAAAAATTAGTAAAAGTATAATTTTTGTTATAACTCTTTGATTCTCATCCAGAGGTTTCCTATATTCTTCGACGGTTCTTGGGTAATTCCATTTTGAATTCTAAAGACTTGGTAAGGAAAAACCAAATGATGAGTATCCATAAAACTAAGGAAGCATCAAAAACTTTTCTTGCAAAGAAGTAGGCTAAAAGTATGACAGATAAAATTAGTTTTAGACCGATTACTTCTTCTAAGAATTCCAGTGATATATTTAAATTGTTTTCCATTTTTGAAACCAACGCTTTTCAACTAATTGAAAAAAATTAATGAGACAGTGAATAAAACCGAGAGAATATGTCAGGATTAAGAAAATAATTGTAAGTGTGGTCGTTATAGAAGTTAAGGCTTTGTATCTTTGTCTATGTAATAATATTCAACGAAATATCTATATATCAATTGTATGTATCGAGCAGGTTTGATTTAATTATAGATATGAGATGATAACTCGATACCTTGTTTTTGTACAATGCTGCTGAAAATTCAAACTTTATTTTTCCTTCATTTACTCGATCGATATACAGCGTTGAAAGTGATAATTACGACAAAAATTAGAACACATATATTGTATTCAGCCATATAAGTATATGCCAATATATTTTGAATATCTCATAAATTTCAAAGGTATAATATGGCTTAGTTTTGTATTTTACTACAAAATAATTAAATTATTTCAATTTTACATTCAACACACCAATGAGTGTTATAGGATGAGACAACTAAGCACTTATGTAGTTTGGACGACCATCGAAATTGACTTCAGTATATATTTTTGGTTAGAAATAAGATCTTTCGATCGGAATCTCGTCGAAATCATTCGTCTGATTTTTTTTTCACTATGGACATATCAATTTTTACTTTTATTAAATCAAGAGCAAACATTATATGACTATCTAAGGGTCAACATAAACCGATCAAATCAAGTAGCTAACTCAAACTCTTGTTTTTTTTTAAATTTAAACATATCAGCATGATGATAAATATGAGTCCTAAGTGATAATTGTGGTTCGCAATTGAAAATCAAAAACAAATTGCAAAAACCAAATATTACTGTATCATTTTTCGTGGACATCCGTTGAGAGTTCCTGTGGAATTAAATATATGATTTTCATTATCTTAGGGCGTCCATTAACAATCTGCGACGCAACCGTTCCCACAACAACCACACTGCTTTGCCTCTCTGAAGTCTGCGAGTTTGATTATCAATTATATACATTTACCTATGTAACTCGCAATGGTTCTAATAGTAGTCTTCTTCGGTTTAATTTCCGTCACGATTCAATGTTTTGGGCCTTGGATGGTGTGCAAGTCATTGATTCAGTTAGTTTCGCACCTGTGATTGCAAATGGCGGCTTTGAAACAATAAATTCAAACGAGTCATGGACAGTATGTAATCCATCAAATTCTTGTTTTCCAGGCGAAATATCGAGTAATTATTCTCGAACTGGACAATATAGTTACCTTGACGGTGCTATGAACAATCCAGATTATTTAGTACAACTATTTCCAACCGTCAGTGGGCGCTTGTATTTCGTTAGTTTCTGGCTTAAAAATTTAGGATCAGGTGTGAACAATGCAACTATCACTATTGGATCATGAGAACATGTATCGCAACTGTGAAACTTTTAATTCTTTAGCATTTTTTTCTTTTTGTCAACAGCTGGCAAAGATCCAGAAAAAGTCCATTTTACCTAAAGTCCTGCGAAAAGTCCTTCACTCTCAACTTAAAGTCCCGCGATAGGATCTTACTGGTGACGGCACCTGTCCACGGGACTTTGAACAGGAAAAGTTGCATTTTATCGGAGCTTTGCCACTGCTGCTTTTGTCTAAATCAGCACTAGCTAATTTTTTGTTTGTGATTTACTAACATACGATTTTTTTTAAATTTCATATATTAAAAGTATTCTTTGCACCAATGAATTCCTCTAGTTTCAATAATAACGCCATTGTCCAATCATGTTGACAAAAACTTTCGACGTACAATATTTTGATGACAATGAAGAGATTTTTTTTCAAATAGATTAATTCTTTCGATAAATATCTACTATATAAAATTGTTTTAGTTTCTAGTTTCATTTAAAAAACATATGAAACCAATTGTTTTTACTACTATTCAGCAGTTCATCATTGGGCATGGTGCTCTTCGCTTATTGTTTTCGAGCAAGTTTTCGTATTTATTTGCACATAAAATTAGCTATTTCATTGGGAGAAGTACTACAATTCGATGAATTCTCAACTCGAATAGAATACTGATGTTATCAATGCATGCTATAATCATCGGTCTCGATTTACTTCAATTATTTTGCATCATAAACTATTTTTAATCGTAGCGCTAACGGTTTCTTTTCAAAGAAATTGATCGTTGAAATTTATTACCATTTCTTATTATCATGAATTGTTCACATTATAGATATTACTCACAACTCAAAATTATAGAAGAGTAATTTTATGTAAATAGGCAGAGAATAATTGCAATAGATTCAAAGTTTCTATGACTATAATAGCATTTTGTTAGTTTATATATCTATTTTATAATAGGTAACTCTCTGAGCTTCTATTTCTATCGATAGTCGATAGAAGAACTAAAAACTATGGTAATAGTTAGGGAGGAAGAAACTTCGTTGTGTTGAAAACTGATTGATTCTGTAGAGCACAGTTTCTTGTCTCAGACGATGCCTTACTCACTCTCGCAAAATATATGCAGTACGCATCAGTTTTTTTTACTTAGGTAGACTTCGTATCATAATGATACGACGATATTTATTGTTTGCTATCAAATTATTCGTTATTTTGAGGTGGTACGTACAGCTTGTGACATTTTCTACTAGTTTTAACCATGCTCGCAATCTAATCGTATAGTCAACTGTTCCAAAGGAATGTGAAGAAATGAAAATTTTTCTCTCTTCTATCGAACAAGAAAAATACGCTCTACCACCTTGTTCTTTTTCTCTTACTCTCAAATTCGCAGTGCAAGACAACAAAAACAATGTAAGATACAGAATAAGAAAAAAAACTGAAGCCAGTCATATGATAATGAAATATTTCGAATAGTGTGCTACCTAAAGATACAAAACAGTGCACATTAAGGTAAAAACCATCGTCGTTAGTGTACTTCGCAAAAAATGGCTTGCTCGAATTGCTGTTACTCGCTTATTAAAAATTTGACCCTTTTAATTGCTATTTTGGCCATCGGTATTCCGTTGTATTATAATTCGACTAATCCTTTATATCTTCAAATACGTGTGATACATTCGTTGATATCAATAAAACATATGCTTGTTCCAGATGCTGCTCGACCAAAATTAACAGCAGAATATCGAGCATTCGAAGGTATACTCGGCAGTTTCAAATCAATCCAGTATGATCCGATGATGGATCCATTAGAAAGAGTCAAGCAGATGCGTGCATCATTTTCATTTGGTAAGACTATCCCGCGTTCATCCGAATGCCGATTCAAAAAAGAATTATTCAAATACGAAGAACGAACAGCCGAAGCTTATTGGATAAACAATCTAAAGCAAGAAAATAAATGGGAAACAGATCAAATTCTACTTTATTTTCATGGTGGAGGTTATATGTTGGGTGATTTTCAAGGTAGGATTCTAACGTTTATTTATAGAAGTTGAGCAAAATATATGAACTTAAAAGTGCATCGTTATAATCTGAATTCAGTCACATTACTCTAGTTCTTGATCAAAATATTATACTTCTCTTGGAAAACAGAGTATCTCTTTGTTCTTTATAGTTAACAGAGTGACATTTTAAAATCATTGTGTGAATAAAATAGCTATCTTATTTTGTTTTGTTGTATAGCTTACAGTGGTTTTGAATGTCACATATCTCGTCTTTTCAATATGACCGTTATTCATCTCGAATATAGTCGTGTACCTGAGCATCCATTGCCAGCAGCTGTCAAGGACGCAGTCACATTGTATGGTGCCCTTCTTCAACAAGGTATTTCCTCATCTCGTTTGGCCATTATGGGTGACTCAGCTGGTGGAGGCCTCGCATTACTCACCATCCAAGCAATTCTTAATCGACAATTGCCAAAGCCTCGCGCAGCTGCTCTTGTATCTCCTTGGACTGATTTGTCGTCATCCGGCGAGAGCTTCAAACGTAACCGTGTGATAGATGTGCTGCTTAATTCTGAGCATATTCCTTGGATGATCGATCAAGCCTTGGGACCAAACCGTGATCAACTAGCCCGAGATGATCCTATATTCAGTCCACTCTTTGGTTCGTTTAATGATTTTCCTCCACTGTATGTCGTAGTAGGAACAGCAGAAATATTAGAAGACGATTCGAGACGAGTGGTTGACAAAGCACGATCGCAAAATGTCGATGTAACCTTTGAAGTTGGCGAACACTTAATGCATGTTTATCCACTGTTCTTTTTCTATTTTCGTGAAGCCAGAGACACACTTGAAAATATTCGTCAATGGTTTGAAGGAAAATTTTAATGAACAGTACAATTTTCGTATTTTACTAATTTTGTCATTAGTGATTGTCTAATTTTTGTTTTTATTAATAAAAGTACGTAATTATGCGATATTAACATCTTTATCGACTAACCTTACTACTGAATTTTTAAACTATTAGCTTTAACAAGACACGTATTTGCTTGGAAATGCTTAGCTTACGAGATAGGAAAGAAAACATATAATGGCAGAAGCTTGAGGATTAAGATTTCAAAAAAATGCATCATCAACTAGGTACTCTTACGATTAATTGAAATAAGATTCTAATCCGAAGAACTTTTTTTCGAATTTATAGGATTTATAGATGGAAAATAAATGTGGATAAAAAGAACTTGACTGTGATCTAGTGTTATAAGTTACTATGTTGACTGATCATAGAAGTTTTTCTTTGTTTTTTACTTAGCTTCCTTCTGAAAAAAAAGCAACCAACTTGCCATATTAGATATGCACATGCAGTCAGAAATATGTAATGTCTATCTAAGTTATTTAAATCGATGTAGAAAGCTTCATATCATCGTATGCTCTTCTATATGCAATAAAGTTTCGAAGAGAGCTGCATAGGAATTCACCAAGTTTCTACATAAAATCTTATTCTTGAACGAATAACATGCTCAAAAATCATGTTTATTTTTCCTCAATATGAAGGCATTCAAGAGTGTATCAACAGAAAAATCTTTTGAACATTAAATATTCGTCATCAGTATCGTTTTTCAACATTATTATTGTTACCGTTCTTTCACACATTTGCGACTGGGAGAATGTTATTATACGTCTACGAACAATTTCTATCTTACTCAAATCAGTATGCTTCACGAAGAGATGATCACAAAATACTTAAAATTACAGCAATGTGAGAAATAATGTATACATTATTTTGTCGCATCAGATACACATTTTGTCAAGATTTCATTTGATTTAAAATTATTAAGCAAGTTAATTGTAAAGAAAACTTTTCATTGATAATTTGACCGGTTAAGCAGTATTTTCAAACAAATTAATAACAACACAAATGAAATTGATACTTCCATCATCTTATCTGATATTACCTGAGATTGCTCTCAATCTCAAGTTACTTCTTAGAATTAGAAAACCTCATCGAGAGATGAACCAAAGCTCAAAAATGTTTTGATGGTACTTATGTTTTTTGGTTCAATCAAAAGAATAATTTGCTTGACCTCATACATTCACTCTGGTTTTTCTTCTGATGAGTTGTTGGCACATATATACATGAAGTACTCCGAGAAAGTCAACGTGCCAACAATACCAACCGAAAATTATCCAGAACTAGGTTTTTCATTATATCGGATATGTGAAAGTGTAAGATTGAAGGGACAAAATTGAAAACATCATTTTAATTCTAACTGAGAAGCTTATGAAAAGAACCATACGCTTTAGATTATACTATTAATTAAATTTAATAAATCATCACATAGGAAGCATGATTATCGAAAGACTGATTCAATCAAACTCACTGCATCGAAAGTGGCTTCAGGCCAAGATTAGAACGATACTCTTTATATTTTGAATGGCATCGTCAGAATAAAGTTTGGTATTTGCTCGAAAGATATGAAATGTTTTTCTAGTTCCATTATTTATACGCAGAGGCAAGGGTAGAATCTGTATGTTCTTTTACGCAATTGCAACCATCATGTTGTAATAATCGATTTTCAATTAGCTCACCATCTTACACTACAGTATACCGAGCTGGAAAAAATCCTATATGTAGCAATATTTCAATCTATGCAAGCCTATTAGGCGTAGCCTTTCTCTGAGAAATCTAAATACAGAATGCAAATGAATAACTTATTTTATTGACGGAGTATAAAGTTGATTTGAGACAGAACGACCAAGTAATCCGATCAGTAGAAATATTGATCATGAATGTCATAGATTTGATTCGGTTTAAGTAAAGAGAAAATAATTTCTCAGTTCCTTTTACCCGTAAAACATACAGCGCACATAAAAGGAAGACGAGCAACTTTTTACATAATGGTGAAAAATCACAATTACATTGACTAAGTTGCTTTTGCTTGAAATAGTTAATGTTAGAAATATTGATGAGAAATATTCAAAGACGTAGATTCCAATCTACTGTGGTGGTATATTAAGATCATAGATCTACATAAATAATCTTTTTGGCAGGCCAAAAATGGACTTTACGAAAACTGATGTGACTAGATAAAAATAATGTCGATTAATCTGTATTGTTAAACATATGTTGATCAATTGTAAGGCAAAACTATAGTGCTTCTATGGTAGATACCTTATGTTACTCGTTGCCATCTATAAATAAGATTTTAGCATAGTTAAAAGAAGTAGCATATAGATATAGATATAGATATGTCTTAATAAGTACTAACGCACTCGCCTCTTTTATGTATCTTCTGCTATAAATTTCTCAAAGAATATACGTCAAATGGAGTAAGTTAAATTTTGATTGCTTTCTTATAATAATTTAAAGAAAAAGGCCTGTAACATGGAATAGGTTTTCAGTGATTCAATTATTTTTTCATGAATCAATTTATTTTGTACCAAATTAAATATTCATTCGAAGATAATTCTATCATTGTAGTACGCTAAATCACGGATTATATTCCTAGAAAAAACTCATTAGCGAAAAAATATGTTTAGCATAGTCTTGATTCAAAGCAAGTCATGCTAACCTTGAATAGTCCTCGGAATAAGATTTTTTTTGAAAGAAAATAAAGATTAGAGACAGAGCTCGACAATTCATTAAGCTATTTCTTGCTAACGGATGCCCTGTAAGCTCTTGGTATGAGAATAATATTCTGAATTCACATAAAAACTGTGTACTTTGATCTAATCCGGAAGAAACATAAAAAGATCCCGCCGCCGTTATTTATAAAATTATAGACATGCATATAAAATAATATGAAGCCACTCTGACAGGTGAGTTAAATTGATACCTTCAATGAATATTTGTGTTCTTCCATGAAGAACTTTTCAAGTAACTACATGGTCGATTCAAGCATAAAACCCTAGTGAACTACAGTTTAATTATTATTTCGTGGTTTTTATTGATTTATTTCTTGTTCTAATTGAAATACGGGTTTAAGAAATTCAGATAGATCACGTTTTTAAATGTCTCATGTTTATTATCTATCTGAAGAAATTGTTCGTTAATCTTATAAAAACAAAAATATTCGCTGTTTTTCATCATGAATTCAATGTCTATTAAAACAAATTCAGCCATTACATTCTTTTAATAAAGAAAATTTATTACTATATTGCTTTTTCGATCGTTTTCTCCGTCAAATCATGAGATCTACTCATCGCAATGCTTTCGGTTACGTTTTGTATATCACTGTTTCAAAACACATTCATTCTTATTAGGAAGATTTGAATGTTGTCGAAGATATTGAATTCGGTTTGAATAGCTTCTGAATTTTTAAGTTTTCAACAGAGGAGTACATCAATCCTTTTATATTTCTTCATGTTACTTGAAACTTGTTCTATCCATTGGAATAATTCATAGACGATACATTCAAAGATTATAGACGACTCGTTAATAATTATAACTTATAAAATGAAATTTTTTTAAGAGTTAGTAATTTATATGCAAAATATCAAAATAAAAAGTCAAATTTAGAATTAAAAAAATCGACTCCATTAATAAATTCCACAAACTCTTATTCACTTAGTTAATTCGATATACGACTAGCAGGTGCTGCGCTAACATCAAGAATCTATTTATAATCATACAAACTTGGCCATTTTCTAGCTACTGACTATAGTATTTGACACAAGAAAAAATATTTGTTAGAAAATTATTATGATCTTTAATATAAAATGTTGATCAGCATTAATGATAAAAACATGAGAAAAGATGTTTTCAAAACTTATTTGATTACCGGCCGCTACTAGAAATTTACTGAAAATAATTGAGGAAACGTATGCGCAATACATCGTTTTATTTTTATTTCTTCTGTGTCTTTTTTTATTTGATTTAATTTTCACCAGAATATAGCTAAATAATAATTTTAGTAAGTCAGCATATATTCCTCGCTGATAAACACTTTTTATTTGATATATATATATATATATATTTTTTTTTTTTCTTTAATAAGATTATTTGAAATTCATATTAATAGAACTATTTTTAGTAACATATTTACACGCCCCTTTTGATAAACAAGACTTCGGAGCTATACGAAAGAATTATTTTTAGGCATGTATCAAATTTAGAGGAACACTTTCTCAATGTTGAACACTTTTTTATAATTCCCAACAGTATTCATTTCAGAGCACCTTTACTGTTTTATTAGTTTCTTCTCTTTGTAGTATGCTTTCTTCTGATAAAGGGAGTTATTAGCGTAACATTTTAGCAAATTATCTAAAAGAATCACGTATGAAAAAAGACTTATTAATCTTAGTCAATGAGGTTTATTACTGAGAAGTAGCGTTTCTAATACTTTCTCTCTAGTTTTTTTTTCAACAGAAGTGACTTAGTTTAGACGCAAACGCGTTTTATCTTTTATCAGGTTTATTTTCTGCATATAATCTTATCTATTAATTATATAGTTTCTTTTCTTTGTTTAAGAACTCTTCATTTAATTTGTATCAAAAAATTTTAAAAATCAAAAAAGAAAATTTCTTCCAGTTTTTCTTACCTGAATTTGTTTCTTCACGGTTAAACGTAAGTAATTTCATAAGATTATCAGTTTTTATTTCCTGCCAAGCATTTATAAATACTAGTGCCAAGTTGTGTGCCTTTTTTTTCTTGCTTACATTATAATAAACAAGAAACTCGAAAGATAGATAGATAACTATTGATGCTATTGATTCTTTCAGCATAATAATATTACTAAATTGTAATAATGTTCGCACATTCTTCTTATACACAACCAGCAGAAGTATTAAAAAATGTTTCCGTACAATTTAATCGTTATTTTTCGATATTTATTTTTCTTTTTGGTATGATCGGTAATATTCTTAATTGCTTTGTTTTATCGCAACCGAATCTTCGACTAAATCCATGTGCTTATCTTTTCCTAATTTCATCGTTGGCAAATATGATTTCCATTACATTCGGTTTATCAACACGAATCTTATCCGGTTGGGATATGGACATTACAGATTCAAATACTTGCATGTGTAAGTTTCGCGCATTTGTTATGCTTACTTCACGAACAATAGCTTTTTGGCTTATCGCATTTGCTACAATCGATCGTTGGTTTTCATCATGTTATCAGTATCAAAGAAGGCAGATGAGCTCATTGAAAAATGCTCAACGCGGAACAATTATTATTATTATTCTATCAATCCTATTATACAGTCAAATACTTTACTGTTATGAAGCAAATATCACTTCGACTCCGCTTAAGTGTTATGGTAAATCTGCAGAATGTCGATTACTAACTGATATAATCTATGCTTTAATAACTATATTATTTCCTTTACTAATCATGTGTATATTTGGTTTAATGACTATATCAAATATACGTCAAACATACTATGTTATTCTATTTAAAAGAACGAGTACAGAATCCGACAATGAAAATAAAACAACCTTAGTACTAACAAACGGACAACGAGAACGATGGAAAAGAATAGATCGTTACTTACGTCATGTACTTTTTGTACAAACAATACTTTTAACTGTATTCACACTTCCACAAGTTGTTGAAAAAATCTATACGACATTGACAGAGAATCCAAGAAAATCCTCATTACATAATACTATTGACAAATTTATTTATAATTTTGTCCTTCTTCTTACTTATGTTGCTAGTGGAATGCCATTTTATATATACACATTAAGTGGCGGAAGTATATTTCGGAATGCACTAAGAAATTTATTTCAATCAATGTTTAGTTTCACAACTAACACATCAGTCAGAACCACAGAGTAAATATTCAAGTGGAATTTTTTTATATAGATTTTATTTTTTTTAATGAATTGTTTAAAACAAAACATCACAGCATCATGCCAACTATGTTTGACTCTGGAATGAATAAATGAGTATGTTTATTATGAAATTATTTTTTCCTCGTTGAATTATTAAGACTATAGTAGTAATGAACAAGAAATTATCACCGACTCTTTTTTTAGCTTTCCACACGTGTTACTCTATAAGACGTAAACATTAATGTTGATAGACTAGAGACTCACATTTGCTTTTTTTCATGATTAAAGACTTGTTTTTAATGACAACGGGAGAAAAAAAAACAGGAACATCAATACATTATTTTGTTATTTCATGTCGGATGTCAATAGCATAGTTCTTTCAATCCATTGAGAACGGGGTTCTTCTTTAAGAAGGACAACAGTAGAACATGGAATCAATTAAAATGAATCAGTTTTCATATCAAACCGTCGCTAATGATCTTTCTAAGTCCATATGATGCCTTTATAGGTCACCCGTATCAAATAATAAAGAGCATCTATTAAAAGAAATGATCTCTTCCGGAAGAAGAAAACCCTGTATTCATCTTCCGCTGTGAAGCAGCTAATTCAATAGAGCTAAGAAGAAAATAATGATTTATTGAAAGTATCACGTAGATGAAATGTATTTAAAAAAAAATTTGAACTCAACGATTGCAGTGCATTGTCTCTCCGTGCATTTTTCGTATCGAAATTTGGATATTTTCAGGATTTCATGAATTGAAATGAAAAGTAAAAGTTTTATACCACAAGAAACATTTATTTAATTATCATCTACAATTATCTTATTCAAGTCTCTTCGAACCGACAATACAGAACGTATGTGTGTATTTTAGCGTGAATGTAATGATTAAATAGACGTAAAATACTGCACGTCGAAGAGGACTTTTCTATTCTTTTGTATTTTGTTGTAACTTAACATGATTATTGTTCTGATTCTTGATAGAAGTGATAAATAAGCCATCTATATACATCCAGCACTCACACAGTAGATCTCAACATTTTATTATACCACCCGTAAGCAATACTGAGATCAATTTAGACAATCATCATTTCTAGTAGGATAAGGTGCTTGAGGCAAAAATACGTTGTGTTTTTGTATCTCAAGGGAAATACTAAATCATTAAAATTTCAAGATATTTATCCATCATTAACATGTATGTTTATAGAGATAATAGATTAATGAAAAATCAGTAGAAAACATTTTAATAAACATCCCAAACTTGACGTCACCTATCTAGACATTCTTGAATACATATACGAAATGTTCTAGTAAACCACGAATTCATTTGCGGATAATTTTAAAAATTACCTTTTGTCGAGCAGAAAATCTTTCACTATTTTCATAGTATTCTGATATACGTACTTTTCAAACTGCAAAAGAAACTTGGAAAATATTCAAATCATCAATATTTACTGAAATTTCCGAGCCACATTTGAATTTTCTTGGTGAATTCGAAAAACAGCAATCTTTTGATGTTGCTATTTATCTAGAATGTACATGAATATATGTTAAAAATAGTGTCTACTAAAGTCTGTCAATTTTGCAGTTATTATTGAGCTTCAATTAATTCTTTTCGCAGAATGTGTTTTTTGGCAATTTCTTTTTCTCTCGCATTGCCTATTTTCTAAAGCACTTTCAAGTTGCTCACAGTGCAGCATCAAGAACTCGGTATGTTTCTCCTGTTACAATGCTACAGGTACGAGAATCTCTCTGACATTTAATTTGCATGCATTCGTATTGATGGAAATTTCTTCCGAAAATTCAATTTTCCCGGTTCGCTCACTTCCGACTTTTCTAACGGAAGTTATCATTTAATCCAACTTGTCTCATTGATTTGTTCAATTCGTAAAGATTTTGCCAAAGATTTTTCTGCTTATATGCATATAATTCAATGTTTTTTGAATTAACTTTAAGATCATTCTTATTGACACGAAATAAGAAACGAAAAGGACACTATTTTTGTCAAGATTATTCGTATGACGTAATTGCACGTTTTTTTTTACAGTCGATAGTTGAGTTGTATGGCATAGACTGGAAATACAATCGCATTTTAATGCACCATCGCATACTTCTACAAAAATAAATAAAGAACATGCTTGTTTTTCATTCATACTGATTTTTTTATTAAGAAGACCCTAAAATATTCATAGAATAACCGTGTGTTGCTCTTGAATGGCTAAGCGAGTTTTATTCAATTCAAATTATTTTTAAAATCAATTCCTAAATAATCATAACTTTGCTTATGGTAAGCAAAATTTAGCTGAGAATTTATGGTAAAAAATTGATCTCTCTCTTGGTTGTTTTCCTCCGAAGAAATACAAAAAAGGAAGTAACAAAAGAGCACAGGTACCCATGAGGAATAAAAACATTTCATTCTTCTTATACGGCTTCCATGATTTTTAAAATTGGAAAGATGTACTTGCAAAAGAAAAAAGTGTTTCGAGACTGTGTCTGCGAAAATGTTTATCAATATGTTGATAAATAAATCAGCAAGAGCCGAATGGGAACAAATTCAATTTTTCCTTAAAAGAATTTATTTTCATTTTACTTTGAAGACTACGGATAATAGCGAATATCATTGTTTAGCTAGAAAAACTGAACTCTCTAAACTAGTTTAATCTTCAAAGACTCGATGGTAACGACCAACGAAGATTGGAGTCTATCAGTACAATATATCTGCAATTAAAATCTGTAATACAATTATACGACTGTTGCTAATAAGGACAGTTGTTAGAGCAATCCCTGTTGGATTAAAATGTGAAACGCGATGAAACTCCTTTTCTGGAATCCTGTCTATCACGGTCAGTGATGGTCTGTGGAGCTTCCCTGTTGGGGTCTGTATTATGATGCATGGAGTCTCTAGAAATCATCACAGACCATTACAGAGAATTCAAAGATCAGCACAGACCGTAAGAGAGAAAACAATTAATTAATGAAATAATTAACCAATTATCTAATGAATTAGGTTCTCTGCAACGGCCTGCGGAAGGGATGGGGCGGATTGGGACCAAATTTCTACTCTATATACTTCAACACTCATTTCAGATCGTGTTTCCCAAAAGAGTCATTTTATTCTATCTATTTTAGAGTGCATATCTTAACTATTCTCTTAAGGATTAGCCCAGAAATGTAATAATAAATCAGTTCATAGATATTAGCATGATATCTTATTGGTACATCGTAGGTGATGAATGTTCGTTACGATGTTTACTGTCATCACTATGCACGAGTTACAAAAGAATTCACCGTTACACTTCAAGTTTCTTTACGTTTAGTGTTTTAAAAGTACGTTTATGAACTATTTCGCTTTCATTTCTACTTGAATATTCAGTGAGCGAATGCAAATGTGATTGAAATAAAAAGAATTTATGGTTATCTATGAAAAATAGTCATTAAGCATCATGATGGCTCGTTGAGTTTTGAAACTATCAATATATTCTTGTGCTAGGTTGCAAAAACTGTAATTTTTCATCATTTTATCTTTATTTTTTATACAAAAAAAAACGAGCAGGTCTTTTAACTAATTGGAAAAAAAGCATCATTCATAAAAATCCGGATTGATTAATGCTTCTACACACAAACAAAAAGAATTAGATATGTCTCTTTAGTTCAAAAACCATATGGATTCGAATGATCTGTTCAAAAGAATCTTTTGACGAAGCATGCACTCAAACCCATCATTAAACTGAGCATAGGAATAGTCAAACCATTTCCTGCATTTCGGCATGATCTAAAATATATATTTGAGAACGCTTATAATCATTATAATGTCTGCATAACCTTACCCCCAAGTTGAGCCTAATACGCAGGCTGAAAAAGTACCCACACACGCATTCGCACAAGTTTGTGAGCTACATGTTGTTGACGATGACGAATAGGTACCATATCCGGCATAGGTTGAACTCGTCGGACAATAGCAATTACATAAGTAATCAGCGCTCACCACACTTAAAACAGTGAGACAAATGAGAAGAGTTGCGATTCTAGACGGCATATTCCAAGAATATTATATTTGTAATAGAAAATAGAAAAGTTGAATGCTGACTCGCTGTATTTCGTCCACCTCTTTTTATACTACCACAAAATAAATATTTCTCTCCGCCTACAATGCGATTCTTTCTTTTTTTATTATTATGCGTTACACTGTGTAAAATAATTTTCTTTGATGTATGACCTACAAATTACAAATGTAGCTATGAAAAATGACTTGTTTTCGAATATTTTTCAAACGCGCAATAACTGAGTAAGGCTTCTATTTTATTCTGTCTCTCTCTCTTTAATTTCTTTTCAACGCGTGATTTTCAAAGTATTTACACTGTACAAATCAAAACTCAGCAATAGTAAACATGGAAATCTTGTAGCTGCCATGAAGTGACGTACAAACAACATCACTGTCTCTCTAAGAAAAAAAACATGAACGTAGAAATCAAAATATATTTTATTTCTCTTCCATTTTAGAATATAAAATTGGACTGTATTCTGGATTTGCATTCATTGTTATTCGTTAAAAAAAACGTCCCGGAGGAACATGAAACTCAGTGTCGTCTGTTGTGTTTTTATCGTAGCCATGTTCTATAATGTTGAAGCTAGCAGTAAGTTATTTTCGTTTTAATATTTGTTTAGTTTTAAATTCACAATAAGTTGAGAATATCGTTGCGGCTGATCCAAATATTCAGAGTCGATCAAGCGATCAAGGTAGATTGTTAAAGATCCCTTAACTAATCAATATGTTTATATCCATACAATCGCATATAAATAGGAAAACTTATCATTGGTGGCCTTGTAGCAGCTGATCCAAATGTTCAGAGTCGATCAAGCGACCTAGGTAGATTGTTAAGGATCCATTAACTAATCAATATGTCTATATCCATATAATTGCATATAAATAGGTAAACTTATCATTGGTGGCCTTGTAGCAGCTGATCCAAATGTTCAGAGTCGATCAAGCGATCAAGGTAGATTTTTAACGATCCCTTAAATCTTAAATGTATATTTATATATATTGTAATATTTCGTCAACAGGGCGACTGGTTGTTGGCGGCATTATAGCAGCTGAGCAATCTAGCCAAACTCAATCAGGTACGCCATAAATTGATTGGCATTCCGCTTTACAAGCTTTGTTCACTTATTTTTCTAGGTGATAATAAACTCCAGTTAGTTGCGCTAAGCACAACAGTTTAAGTGTACGAACATCGGTTAGGTCATGACACTTGCTTTTGAATAATTATTTGATCAGTTTTATGTACTGTGTTCCGTTTTGAAACGTTGAATATACTTTGTAACAAAAATAAAATATCTGTCATTGAAAAAAAGTTCGTTTTTTAAGAGTACCGATTATTTACATCTTCTAACAATATCTGTATCAAGCCTTTTTATCATAGGGTGTGAGTGTGGATTAAAAAGTGATAAATACCTATGCTTACACCTGCGCGAAAATGAAAGCAGAAGAAATTCAGAGAGTGTGAAATTTCAGCACCACGGTTATTCGTATTGGGTTTTATTTACTGTAACCTGTTCTCTTCGGAACTTTGTGTACTCTCAAATTAGAGGAATATGACGTTTTCTCCTTTTTCACAACGAAATTGTTACTTTTCGGTAGAGGATGAAATTCTCTGCCTAACATAGACGAATTAGTACAGCTTCGCCGAATTGTTATTTCGGCGATTCCAACTTGGCCAAATAAAAATCCAAACCGAAAAATAAAAAATAAAATTTAATCCATTCTAGATAAAGATTTTTGAGTAGCTGTCTAGTTCGAGTTCGAATATAAGTGGAGAAAAGAAATAGTTAAACTAAAACTAAGTCTAGGAATAGATTTAGTTTTAGTTTAACTTTCCGATAAATGCGACATACGAATACATACGTGTATATACCTTTCACCCGCACCCACATTTAAGCACTGCTCCTTGGAATCCATCACCCACAACCGCATTTGAAGTATCCCGGATACCCCTGCACCCCTGCCGGGTACCCTTCACCCACATACCCTTTAACTAAACGAGTCACTATTAAAGTAGTTAGTTAGGATACAATTCTATATCTAGAATGAATCAAATTTGGTTCGATATTTTTCGGTCAAGATTTTTATTCGGTGAAGTTGGAGTCGGCGAGAATAATCTTCGGCGAAATCAAAATTCGGCGAAGCTAAAATTTACCACACAGACTAGGAAGTGAATTGAGCTGGCTGAAAAGAGAATAGATCCTATTCCGCAATGTTGAACATTCCGTTAATCAGTTCAAACTAGTGACCTGCGTGACCACGATTTTTAGTCACAGTCACGTCACGATCACGAGCTATTGAGTCACGGTCACGGTCACGATTATAGCCATGATAAATATATGGGTTCTGATTCTGAAATATTGCCAGTACTTGGTATTGAAAAGAGGCTTGTTGAGTAACGACATCTACCTACGGCTACCGCAATCGTGGACTTTTTCCAGAATGATATTGATTTGGGAAAATGATGATTATGAAAGTGAAAAAGAGAACTAGTAAGCATCAGAATAATGATAAAGTTTTGATTTATACTAATGATTCATTAGTAATGAATCTAGTTGTCTTTTTATTAATGATTTTGTTTTTGTTCTTGTTTTTAATTAAGATTTAATACTATATGTGAACATAATAAAAAGCTTCAATTTTTTTATTTTTCAATTATATTATGAACAAGATTCTTTTTTTCATTTTTTCATTGCTTTCATTTTTCGCTAAAATATTGTCGGTCACGCGTGACCGTGACCACTTTGCAGGTCTCTAGTTCAAACACAATTCCGGAACTGCCGGAATCATCACCAACCAATTCCTCCAATTCCGTTTATCCATGTCGATACGATTCCGGAATTAACGGATGCACTGCCTACCAATTCCTATAAATTCCCGTAGTTCCGTGTGATTCCGGAATTGAGTGAGCAATGGATAATTCATATCAGCTACCGTCCAGTCTCGAAGCCAATTCTGCTACGGAATTCGCGGGATCGGTGGCAAGGTGGGTTGGATGGATTATCGTGATACGGTTGAGATCAAGTCGGACGGGATTGCATGTCTTTCTTTAAGCTAGTACTAATGGTTTGATTGTTAATGTCTCTGTTGAGGATGCAGTATTGCCGATAATTGTTCGGTAAATTGAATCTGTATTGCCACATAGTTACGCAGGCCGATATGGTTAGATGTGAACCTGCAGGAAATCTACGAGCGTGGTCATATGGACGACCACGCTGAGACAGTATTTTCCCGCACTGATACTGAAGCTAAAGCTGGAGGGCACGCGCACACTGGCACTCACCGTCGTGACCACGCGCACACTCACACAACCACCCACACCCACACCCACATTCCGGAATCGGATCACTTCTATATGTGTAAGCGAATACAGAATAGTAATAAAAGTTATAATTCCGGAATCGGACGGAATTCCCAACGATTCCGTTTCACCTGATTGCAGAATTGATTCCGGAATGTTCAACATTGTGGAAAAGGATGACTGCTCGCTGAAAATACTCAAATATTGTGATAACTTTATTTATGTATGTCGAAATGGTAAAACTGAATTGATTTTATTATGTTAGATGTGTATAGGTGATTTATAAACAGAAAACATATAATAAATGAGTATAATATGCCTGATCGAAGAGATGAACAAAGGTAAATCTGACAATGGTACACACTAACATGTATCTTTTTGCATAATTGTATATGATAACTAATGACCGACAGCTTTAAACATAACTCTAGAAGTCGAATAGAGCGAGTCATGAAAGTGTAAAATCTAAGAATATCGCTTTGTTTTAAAAACACTGAAAAAGCAAAGAAATATGTAACCATGACGACAAAGGAATGAATTGAAAAATAATAATACAAATAAACTTTTCTTTCGATTATATATATTACTAGACCCACTCTTATGAGGCACGTGCTGAATCTGATAACTTAAGTATAATTTTCTCAATATAATCTGTAACATGAAATAGTGCCCAATCACCTATATAAATAGTTATATATTATTTCAAATTTTTTTAATAAACAAAAGAATCCTCAATTTAGTTTCGTTATAAAAGAAATCGTTGAATCAATAGATTCTCTCTGATAAACTATTCGCAAATTGTGTTGTTGTTATTATACGTAAAGTAAACAATCAAAGAGGTTATTTCACAACTTCAATTAAAATTTTTAATTGTCATGTAACGAGTATTATATTAAAATCTATTTGGAGAATATTGATCAGGATCAAGGGCTGGCACTACTTTCGGAGTTGGCTTTCCGTTAATAATATTTTCCAATAGAGCAGCTGATCCAAATGCAAGGGTCCATCCTTTACTACCGTGACCACAATTAACAAAAAGATTATCAAAATGATCATACTGTCCAATCAATGGTACGTCGTCAGCTGAAACAGGACGCGAACAACTATGAAATTTTTTTTCATACGGCTCTAAATGTGGTAACCATTTTATTGTTTGTTCATACAAATATTGAGCTCGATCTGGTTCACTAAGAACACCAATATCCTATCAAATAGAACATAATGTTTAACATGAATATTATCTTGAATAAAAATAAAACTATTACTTTCCATCCTGCAAATTCAGCAAGACCACTAACTCGAACTATGCCTTGTTTATCATTTGGCTTTAATGCTGAAATATATAATTTATTTCCATCATCGACTAAATTCATCGATGGAAATGGAATATTCGGTGGGGTTACTATTTCAACTACATAGCCCTACAAAAACAAAACGATTCATCATAGCAATTCTATTAATATTACGATTAATTAACTATTTTAACTGAGACAGACGTATGTACCTTAACAGGATAAACTGGTATAAAAACTTTTAGTTTTTCCATCAATGGCATAATATAATTTCCATTTGTTAAAATTATATTATCTATTTTATGAATGACTTGATTCGAATTTGTCGTAACTCCACCTATATGACTCTTTTGTTCCCCAAAAATACTTTCACTTGTACTGTCTACAATAAAACTTTTAATCTCCTGATTAAATAGAAACTGAACGCCATATTTTTCGATGAGAATTTTCTTCAATTCGCAACAAAATTCATAAATATTTCCGTTTGTATCTGATGAACTAAAGACGCCACCGTGTAACCGATCCTTAACTGCTGCTAATATGGGTTCATGTTTAATAACTTCATCTGATGTTGATAGAATTTGTATATTTTCATTAAACTTTGATTCTTCAATTATTTCCTCAAGAATAGTCGAATCTTCAGCTAATTGTAATGAACCAATCGAACAACGAGAAAACGATATAGAAGTCTATTCAAAAAGAGAAAGTGTCAAACAATTTTCTTCAAAAACTATTTTAAAACACATTACTTCATTAAGAATATCATCCAAACATTGTCGAGAATACATACTAAGTGCTAATAAATTCTTTGCATTTTTAGCCTGAGCTTTTGTTGTACAGTTTTTTAAATATGCATACATCCAACGATAGAATCTCATAGAAACATAATTACTTGGCCAAATTTTAGTAGACGTTGTGTTTGATGAAAAAGAAAATATTGATTTAAGATATTTCTTTGGTACGTTCGAATTCGCCCATGGAGTCAATAGGGATGGACAAATTAATGAGCCATTTTTATAACTACGATATTTATTAAGATGTTTAGCTTAAAATCTATTTAAACCGTACCTTGTTTCTAAAGCTACATCTTCTCGTTTTTCAATACAAATAACTTTATGTCCACTTTTTGCTAAATAATATGCACTCGTCAGACCGATAATACCAGTGCCGATGATAAGACTTACTGTTGCTGACCTGTCATGTTTAGATCTGTTTGAGTAAATATATTTTCTAGGCGCTTCCGGAGTGAACAATTTGTAATATCCCTATAGTTTGTCATACATAAAGCATGAATAGTTATGATCATATTTTAATAAAATACTTACGTAAGATATAATTGTACTGCCGACTACTATAACTCGGCGTATCATCGTTATAGGGTGTTACGAGAACTCTATTTGTTACTTTTGGTTATATAAACGTTGATAAATGCCTTTTACCCTTTCATAAATGTTGAATAAGTAGACAGTTTTTATGTAACAATAAGACAAGTGAAATGATAAGAAATGAATAAAAATAGCGTGCCACATGTTTTTGTTATTTTAGTAAAAGTTGATAAATGAAAATAGCTACATTTGTGAACGAAAAAGTCAACCAAAATGGATTAGAAGAATCTTGAAGCAAATTGCTTTTCATAGCTGAGAATTAGAGTCATGCTTTCAAATAATATTCTATACACGTATTGTATCTAATATGATATTATTACTTCCTCCGTCACAATTTTCAATATTAAGTAAGTCTTAATTGTTTTTTTAAATTATTCCATACAAAGATTGTACGGACTGAGCTGGTTCTTATTATTTTTTTATTAGAATTAACTAGAAATACAACACGAAGTCATCGGATAACTGGAATTATTCACAAAAATATTTTTTTAAAACCACTTATAAATAGCAGGAATATAAATTGTTTGTATAAGTTGTCTCTTGTCAATATTCTTACGGATAATATTTATCTGGCTACTAGAATTCGAATTAAAATATTCCGTTATGTTCTTCGAAATCAACGAAAATAAAAATTTGATGACTCGTCATAATTTTTCTGAACCAGAATGACATTGTCAACAGTTCAAGTTAGAATCATTATATTAATATATTCCCAGTCCATGTAAATTGAAAATTCACTGAATTAAGAGAGTTATACTTCAGTTAAAATGTTAGCTACACCACGAAAGTTAAAATCATTCAATATACTTCCATAAGTGGTTGAAAACTTTTACCGATAGTACCCTAAATATAATTTTCCTCTCAGAAGCCTTGATGCGTACGAATTGAAAAGTCTTGTTCTAGAGTAAGAATTTCAAATCAATTTTCTGCCATATTGTTTTCAATGATTGAAATTTGTCAAAAAGAATTCCATGGCGTAGTTGGAAAAACGTTTCTTTTCCGAGTACTTTTTAACTTTATCATCTACGAATTATTTGATTGCTTGTGCTTACTTAACGTACAAGCGTATTTAAGTAGAAGCCTTTAGCTACAATTTTTACAGAATGAACATCTGAAACACAATCAAAACGTTTTCTAGATGTCATTAGTTAAGGATCTGCTTTAGATTCAAATAGAATTGCATTATAACTAAACTGAGGATAGACGTTGGACATCATTTGTCATGGTCTATGGAAAAGAACAGTGAGGACTGGAGAGGCGAACATCTATATCTCATATGTTTCAAAACCTCGGTTACATGATTTTTCACAAAATTGACTGATTTCATCCTTGTGATTATTGTTTAGTATCAGTCATTATTAAACAAATATGGAAAAAAGTTGAACAGTTACCTTTTTTGTTGTGGCAACGATACTAAACTCACTATTCAATAGTATTTATTTTGAAATATTGTGGACACAATTTAAGGGAGCCCATCAAATAAAGGGAAAATATGGACACCTGTATAGAGGCTCACAAAATCATCTGATGAAAACTTCTTATTGGCGAATCTGAATACAGTAAGTTAATTTTGAAAATGGTGCCAAAAGCAATGAAAAATTGAATTAAAAAAACAAAATTTTCAAATCATTTCATATTATTTATCTCTCGCAGTATTTTCTGCTGTATTTATTTCAGTCCTCACCCATCAAACCTTATATGTAGCACGAACCACTGGAGCCCAGTAACGCGATTGCGTAATTATACTTAATTTTGATTTATATATATATATATATACTAGTTAGTTCACTGTTTTGACTCGATCTCTTACAGCGAATTGCGCAACGTTCCTAATACTGAATGTATCAAACAAACAGAATCAAAATGCATCACCACCCAGTTATTAAGTCCAATATAGATGCTGCGGACGTAACTAGCGTGCACACAATACATCGTGTTGACAAAATTAACTCTTTGATTTTGATCAATATGTATAATATTTTAATTACCAACTATCATTTTCTGTCATTAGTTGTTTTTAATGTCTGCTAGAAGTTTTAATTCTTGTAAAAGAGAAATTTCCTGGAATCGAATCAAGTAAAAAGACAATATTCAGTAGATTGATCTTAGAGACAGTCAAGTGTTTTTGCGATTTACATGATTTCTTTTTGATATCACCGAACAGTTCTGATATCATTTTATCTAAATATAAAGTGAGACATCTATAATATAAGCATTATTCTTCATTGCTGCCGATGCTTCATATCAAAGCTCAACAACAGTTATTGCACAACTTGCATGAGTCACAAGAATGAATAACATATGGAATGACATGTAATTTTTTATATTGCAACATACCAATCAAGAAAACATTTAAAACGACTCATTGCAACTTGAAAACCGACAGGAAAACATTGCGATAATGGCTGCAGCTGCAACTAATACTCCTACACGTGGTCATTTACTTCACGTGGGCTTTATGGTACCATTAAATGAATTAATGTTTGAAAATGAAGTATTAGAACGTGAACTTGGCCGTCTAAATTTACGCTTCAACACTTATTCAGCTGTTCTTTTCTATAAAACTTCGGATCAAGGCAGTCTACATGGCTGGTTTGAACAACGAAAACGTTCAAGTCGTGCGGGATATTTGCGAGCCTACTATTCGAACAAGAAAAATGAAACTATTATTTAAATGGACGTCGATGGTAAACAATTCTATCTTATTGCTGCATCAGTTACATCGAAGGCTCCTATTGAATTGAAAAAAGATATTTCCCGAGGATTATTTGGCGAACGCAAACCATTTGTTGAGCGTATTCAAGTACCATGTTTTCCTTATAAATGTGATGCTAATGCGGGCTTCATTGAATGTGAAGCCTTTGCAACTTTCAAAGAGGAATATAGAAACAAACGAGAAACGTTACAATCACAACAAGCGGAACAGCCTGGTGTATTATAGTAAATCAATCATGGTTCAAGTGATAAATCTGATAGTTTTTTTTTCTTTGCATGTCTTTTATTGATAGACTTTATTTTAATACCTAAAATTGATACTTAGAGAATATGTTGCTACCATCAACTAGATGGTAGTGACTTCGATCAATTATGTATCTCAAATTAACTAAAATAATCTGATTAGTGAATTCATTAATCTCGGGGAGAAAAATAAAAACGCAAACGCTACTAATTAAATATGTCGTTGTGTCAGCGAATATATCAAATAATGTGATATATAGCTGAATATCTTGTCAATATTTTTTCCGTACTAGAGAGACTACTGCAATGAATACTTGCACGATTATTTTATCATTCGAACATATTCAATGTATATAATTTAAGAAATCATTGAGGATTGGAACATTTGGTAACTAGAATTTGTGATTAATTTAACAATGTATTTGAATGCTTTCTAGTAAAATTGGTTTAAAAAAAGTTCTTTTCTTTAACTCAATAGTTCAATATTTCATCAAGTCCACAAAAAATTATTCTACAGTAGCATCTATCGTACTCAGTCGAAAACGATGGATTACCAAGATTTTGCTAAAAAATAAGCGAAGTTCACTGATTATATTGTCTTTTTGTTAAATCCATTTTCCTACGAAATTTTCTACGTCACATAGTTAACTCTAAAAGATTTCTAATCTGTTTTCCTTCTCTCTATTGATGATTACTCAGCCATTAGCATTTCAATTCAGTATGCCATCGTTTAGCAAGACTTTGAGCGTTTAAAATAAATTTAGTTAAAAATAATATACTTTTACTTGTCTTACTCTTACATGTAGAACACTGAGTTACTGATGCAATATTGATAGTTAAAAGAAAACTACGTGTTATCTATTCCCGCAGATGTTTATCAGTGACAAAAAGAAAAAAGTGATGTGCGCATTTTATTCTCAAGCAACATGAATAATAGAACAAGAAAATTGTTGAAATGAGGTAACATGTACTATCTGTTTTAATATTATTCTTTGAAACAGCCGAGTAAGTGAATAGCAGGCTCTTCGCTAAGAGCAAACTATTTACAAAAAATAACTCAAAACAAAATAGTAATTAGATAGGCAAACAAGTTTGAATGATAAGAAATATGCCATTTACGAGACAGCAATTTGTGTCAACTAGGCTCATTATCAATAATTAATTCTCCGATAAAAGATCGTTGGTTGTTTTGAGAATACCGTAGTTGCTATTTTTTAATTCTGAAGTCTATCTGATTAATATTAAATCGATGTGTTACATAAATTGTTCCGTTTGCACTGTTCGCTTTACAATTTTTGGAAAATATTTTTCAGATTAAATGTTATTAGCAATTCTATTGGTTCTATTTGTTCAAACTAAACATTCATATGAATACGATACTGTTGTATTTACACGCGGTGAAAATGGTTATTTTTGTATAAAAATTCCTTCTATCTTAACAACAGCTCGAGGAACTCTATTGGCTTTTGGTGAAGCACGAATGTATAGTTGTAGTGATTACACACAAACAGATATTGTCTATAAACGAAGTTTCGATAACGGGAAAACTTGGTCAAATTTAGAAATATTGTATCGTGGAAATGCTTCAAATGATAATTATAATCGCGTAGGAAACATTGCACCAGTACAGTTAAGATACAATCAACGAATATTAATTCCATTTTGTAGAAATAATCTTATTGTAATGCAAACCTATTCGGACGATGATGGCTTAACATTTTCTTCACCACAAATTATTCGCAATGTTACACGTTCGAACTGGAAATGGGTTGGTTTAGGTCCACCTGCTGGTCTTCTATTACAATCCAATCGCATATTAATTCCTTCGTATTATTCAATACATTCGAATGATAATGGTTTACTTTCAACTGGTTATGTTATGTTGAATGATTTTAACGGTCAAGTAGACAAATGGTATTTAGGTGGTGAATTTCATTTTGAAACCTATTTTCCTAATGAATGCCAAGCTGTTGAATTATTACCAAATGTAGATTCAATATTTATAAATTCGCGCTCATTAGGTACAAAACGAATTGGTTCATACAGTGACAATGGTGGAATAACGTTTAAGACGCCTAAATTGCTACACACACTTGTACAACCAATAACTGGATGTCAAGGTTCAACAATCTACAATAAAAATACTCAGCAAGTGTTCTACGCAGGTCTAGCTGAAACATCATTAATTCGAAGTAATCTTTCATTCTATATAAGTGATGATCATGGTGAAAATTGGGCATTTGTAAAAACGATCCATCAAGGCTCATCATCATATTCATCATTGACAATCATGAATGACGGGTCGGTTGGTTTATTATATGAATGGGCAAATAAAACTGATATAGAATTTCAACCTGATTACATAACATTTACTATAGTACAAAATCAAACAAAAACGTAAATTTTCTTTTTACACGAAAATATATATATTAGTTGAAATATACAGAAAGAGAGCATTCGTTCTTTAAACTTCTAAATCAAAATCCACTTTTGTTTTGATCATTTTAAGAAGTTTCAGTTTCGATTCGTGCGATAGATTACAATTATTGATATAAAGTGTTTTCAATGTATGATTTTGTTTAAGCATATACATGACATCATCAAGGCTGGAATCCGTTATTAATTTGTTTGAATCAAGAAATAGCCATTCAAGAGTTATATCATAATCTGCGAGTACATGCCATAATGATTTCACTCCTTGATCACTGAATTCATTGCCAGATAACCATAACCACGTTAATTTCCGATTAGTCATGAGCATATCACAAAGATATTTTAATCCTTCATCTCCTACACCATTTTGACCGAGATAAAGATGTTGAAGAGTTGTTTGATTAGTAATGGATATCTATAATAATTAAATGTTTGTTATACGGATAGTACTATTACGAGAGAATGTGATCAAATATGTCAATAGGGGAAAATTCTTAAAGGATTTTCAATATGTATAAGAGATTTCTAAGTTTCGACGCGAAAAAGAAATAAACAGCAGAAGCTTTTTATTCTAGACTGATAGACTGGTACTGGAATCATGTAGTGATTCTTTATTATTGATTTATAATTGTGTAAATCGTACGGTTAGGATTACTGAATGGTCCGTAGTATAAAACGCCATAGAGCATCTCCGTTTAGATATTGTCTTGTTTTACGCTAAACATATATTAGGCTAATATCCATCGAAAAATATTAAAATGCAAAATGTGCTTGAATGTAGAAGGAATTTAGCACGATGAATGGTAAAGAAAACACTGAAATGCCGAGTGCTCTACTTTTCTGTCGCTAATTGATAATCGACTAGTTTTAAAAAATTATTTCCAAGATTTTTTCATGTCCGGTACTCATCAATAATCTTATATACATTTCTGAATATCAGAATAGATGAATATATTTTACTTTGGCCAGCACCATTTTATACATTACTATTTTCTCCAACGTAATAACGGATCATATTTTACGTCGAATACTAATCTTCTTCAATCACAGGAGATTATGTCAAAACTAAGACGTTTGCTTACATCTGTGAAAGATAGAAAGGAATGTATTTCTTCCCTTTTTTTTAAAGAACAATCTTGTTTCTGGATCATATTACATAAAGCAAACATGATATGCACGTAAGCTAAGCTAATGGTTAACTTAACATCTTGTCATATGGGAAAAAATTCTATTTGAGATTACTTACATTATTATTCGATTGTTCCTGAGTATTTCTTTTATCTCCACCTAATGCATTTGCTAAATATTGAACTCCTCGATCACCTAAATTATTATTCGATAAATATAATTCTGTTAAAGTTCGACTATCTTGAATTATTTGTGCTAAATAAACTGCACCATCAGCTGTAATGCAATTTGATTCTAAATTAAGAACTTCAATAGTTGAGTGTATAATTGATACAGCTAAAAATTGTACACCCAAATCTGATATTTGATTATTACGAAGATCTAACGATGTTAATGTCGTATTATTGTATAAACTATCGGACAGAATTGAAATACCATGTGATGTAAAATGATTATCTCGTAAACGTATACGTTTACAACGATTTCTCACGATTGCATATTTAACAATAACTTTCATATCTCGATCTGTTAAATTTTGTCTATCTAAATCTATTGTCCAAGAATTTTCATTTTTGATAATTCGATGTTCAAGTGCTGAATTTTGATAATGATTATTTGCAGTCGATGATTGAATTCCGAAATTTTTAAATCTCAACCAACATCTTCAAAAACAATTTTATTCAAAAATATAATAATAGAATAGAAAATAATTTGGTCGTTTTTATTACCTTTGAAAAACGTTCAATGCTGTTTGCTCGTGTAAATTTAATTGAGCTTCATCCAAGGAGTGTAAAAGAAATGATGATTCGACTTCTCGAAGGCTTATAAAACATAAATGATCATCATATTGATTCGAACATTTAACTACTTGAAATTTTGTAGCTGGTAAAAATAATAGAAAATTATCTGATTGAAAATAACAATGTTTTTGAATGTTTTTCACTGTATTACAATGAATAGTAAATGTTGTTCGAACTTCTTTTTTCTCGAAAGATTCTTCTGATTGTAGATATTTAATTGAAATTGTACATAGTGGTAAATCCCACCAAAAAATGATATCATCCATTTCATAATATTTACTTAAATTTAATTTGCTGCCTCGATAAACAGTTGCATGATTTGATGGTAGATGTATGAGAGCAGAGAATAGAAGTTTTAAATAAAGCATCCATGATTGAAGTTTGTTTTCATTCAATGATAGTAAAATTGAATTTAAAACTGTATAAAGACATTGATCAACGGGCTGCCATATGATTGAATAGAGCATTATGGAACCCGATTCATCCGATGTTAATCCATCCGCAGGATTACGACATTTCCGTTTGACTAGTTGTACGTAAGTTTGAATTATTGGCATTAAACTAACTAATGGCTCAACAGCTTGTTCGAGCGAAACTATTGGAATATTTTTATATTCTTCCATTGATAGCAGAGATTTATACTGGTCAACAATTGGATTAGTTAGTTTTTCGTTACGCGTACTCATCGTTCAATTTAAATTTTATACAATTTAGTAATTAGTTAAATATCTAAAAAGAAAATATTTCGTAGACCATAAGTACAATGGTTCTATTCATTTTCAGTAATGTAATAAATCTAAGAAATTTGCAAAATATTTAAGTTAGAACTAAGATAGATTTTTCCTGTATTCTTGTATTACACATCAGATAGATGATAAGGGAGATTTTGTGTTTCTCTCACAGATCTAATATAATAAAAGCAAGCGTTTCAACAGGTTTTTTAACGTTGAAATAGGTTAACCTATACATATTTTGTTATAGAAAATAAAATACAAATGTTTATTCGAAATTATAGATGAGTACGAGTTTCCGAAAGTGCACGGTCGCTGTTTAGTAGAACTTATGTGATGAAGTATTCTATTTCTTACTTGATTGCAATCAACATCTTGCATTTCTACAAAAAAAAAAACGGTAAATATCCTCTTCGCCGAAAATCACATTGTCGAAATGAGGATCGCCGAATCAAAGATTATCGAAACGCTTATTGATAAGAAATTATGATGTTAATATTGACGATCTCTATTTCGATAATATTCATTTCAGCGATCTTGTTTTTCGATAATGTTTGTTTCGGCGATGAGGTATACAACCACCTTACACTGAAATATACTGTTGTAGATGTTATAGATTTAAAATTTGTTTTTATTATAAGATTCTCCTATAGAAAAGCTTTTTATTGCTCTCTTCCATAATGGGACCAATAAATCGCTCTAGTAAATTGAACAGCTAATTATTCTATGCTAATTTATAAATCGGCAATAAAAACTTACAATTTTTGTTGTCATGTTCACAACATTTTACTACCATAACGCAGTCCGTAATAAATGCAACATGTTGTCATGACTAAGTCAGCCCTAGACCTCTTGATATTTTTTTTTATTGCGCTTTTTATTTCATATGAAACGCATCATCTCGACTCAAAAGCGATCGGAAACTCCAAGAACTTACCGTATTTTATGAATAACATTAAATATAAAATATTTCTATAAATTGGCCTAATATCATAATATTACTTTTTTCTTACTTTAGGCTAAAATAAAAAAAATCGAGTATACTAAAAGCAACGATTGTCGAGTATTTTCTAATCGATTTCAGAAACATTATCTCAATATTATTCTTTATATGTCTTATGAAAATAGTAGAAACGTCAATAAGCTCAGCAGCAACTATCTCCTAATCTGTATGTTACCATCTATTGCTGCTTAATTTCTTTCTGGATCTCATTGGCTTCTTACGGTTTACTTTCTTGTCTTTTGGATTGCGATAGACAGTATACATTTGATGCTTTCTAGACTTTCCTTCGCTATTTCTTTACTTTTGTATTTGTCTGTCTGTCTGGTAAAAATACATTGAAGACGCCGCTATAGAGTAATTATCGATAATATGACTTGTCATGCGCCAACATAAGTGAAAATCAATTATGCATTGACAATGTATTTGTTGGTCCATATTTTGATTACACAAAGAAGTTTTTATTATTCTAAACGATTGAAAATTATTTTGTTTTATTCAATCATAATTTGAGATGTGGATTAATTTTCATGAAAGATATTTAAACTTAATTTTTTCTATATTTTTATTGCTGTGTCTTTCAACATCTATTTATTGTCATTAAATTGTCGCTAATATTCATTCGAGTTGTCATACTAAGAAATTTGTCAGAATATATCCAATAGCCTAAACATAGTTAAACGATCTGAATTATGTTTCTGTGGAGTTTACATATAGTGTCGAAGAAAATGATGATTGCAGGATTAAAAGCAAGATGTTGAGACTTTCTAACTGTCTCTTGCTGCTAATCAGAGTTTGCAACAATTGGACTGTCGTGGCTTCCATGTTTCCATCCACACGTGATCATACTATTTGTATAGACGATGATTGAAGTATAATGTTATATGTTGAAATGCTTCGGATAGTACAGCTGTAAAACATATAAAAACAATCTTGACATGCAAAATACATGTCACAAATAAAATGTCGAGGATATTAAATATTTAATAACACTCTCGAAAGTTTTCATCTGTTTTCACTTTTAGAAGAGAGAAGACTCAAGATGAAATAGGCTCTAGATTATTGATTTTACCGAAAGAATATTTGTTGACATTAGGAAACCAATAAAGTAAATAGTGCCTTGATATACAGCTATCAAGAAATACAGGAGATCGGTAGTGATCCACAATCTTGAGGGATTCTGATTTTTTCGACTTGATAAGCTTGACATCCTCCGGAAGGCATCTGTGCAAGCAGATAATATGATGAATAACTCGACGAGCGACAATACAGAAAGAGATGGATCGTATCGTGAACGAGGAAAAAATAACAGTATACAATATAGACATGATAAAGATTCTTGCAGCCAAAATACAAGATAATTAATACAGTATGTGAATGAATGTTGCGACTGTTTTTTTATTTTCAATAAAAATAATGACAAAGTTATTTACTTTTGAAATTATCGTATTCGAAATTGTTTTCTTTTCGATTTTTTCTAGACATATAATTATTTCCATCAATAGTATATTTTGATTGAAAATGCTTTTTGATTAGAAAAAAAGGTTGCTCGTAAGCGTTTATGACTGCGTATCAGGTCAAGCATAAATAAGGAGCTAGCCGACGACTAAACAAATCAGCGTGTAGATAAGCACCGTACTCATGATATTCATAGAAGCCAGGCAGATTCACTTTTTCAAATCTCTAGAAAGATCGGAACAAAAATAAAGTTTTTATGTCCGATAGATGTGTTGAGTTTAGCTTACATCATACTCCAATATATAACTATCGTCATTTAGATTGTAACCCGAAAGCATTCGAGAACATTAACTAAAAATGCATAGACAAACTCATACCTCAAATATTGTTGCTTCCTAACGTTTATCTACAAAGAAAATAGTAATTTGAGCGCAAGCCGTCCCAGGACATCGATGGTTGACGACTTCTTATGTTTCCAGTAATCAATTCTGCTTTATCGCATAGGATATTGCGGACTGAGCAGTGGACATGATTAAATGTCGAAGTTGGCATAAACAATTTCATTGTGAATTTTATCTTGACTTTGTCAAACCAGTTAATATTTCTATGCTGGATTATTTTGAAGGTCATATAGTCGAGTCAATTATCTGAACAATAAATGATAACTACGTCGATCAGAGATTTATTTTTCTAAACGTTCAATTGCGATATTAAATATTATATTTAAAAAATCAATTTTTTCAATCATAAAATAGTTTACAACAAAACATATACCATCCAAAACTATGTCAGATATGTGTATTTCTAGGTCGAATCTGGACAAGAAAAAACAATATTTTGAATTGTTGATACAGTGGTCTTATTATTTTCTACTGCTTCTTTTAATGCTGCCAAACTTTTTTTCAACTCCGGATCTTGATAATCATACGTAACAATATTTAATCCAGGAAAATTGAATAGCAATAAATCTTTCAAATTAATCAATAGTTCAGGACTTGGCGCATAAGTACCAGATCCATTGTCGAATACTATTTCCCATTGGTTATCACATTTAGCCCATCCATGTTTTGGACGTGGATGAAATTCGCCAGCATAACGAACATATTCCGATCCATTAGCTAATAGCGCGTGTTTACTAGCAAAATCAGCAAAAAATTGAATGTCAGTTTCACTGAAACGCCATGTATTATCATCAATAACATACGTATATCGACATGGTTTAATAGATTTTGTTGTTCGATCTGCGAAAACTAATTTCCAAAGATCATCAGCATTCGTTAAAGTTCCATTTTCATTATGTTTCAATGTACGACCATAAAGTGTTTTATGTGCTAATTTAATAGTAGCTTTTGTGGCCACTGCTAGTGGACCGTCACTAAATATCGCCTGTGCTGCTTTATATTTTTTATTCCAATGTTGTCGTTCTTGAGGTTTGAAAAACATTGAGATTCTTTTCATTTGTATTTTCCATGTTGAATAAATACAATCAGCATTGAGCATAGTTAAACGACCAACAGCAAGTGAATCATGGCGAGAATACCGGCAAGGACCATCGAATGTATAACGCGGAAGGTGTTTCGTTCCTTCTGCTGATAGCATTGAAGAAACCGATAAATGAAAATAGCCATTATGACGAGCAAATAATGGAGAAATTATTTCATGACCTATTGACGGTGCACGATAATTGATTAAATTAACAATGCTAAATTCACCAATGTAGTCATCAATAATTTTCTCATCATCTTTATCAAAGATTTTAACTGTAAGTTTGGCATCAAAAGGAATATTTCGCACAATCCATTTTTCATCGTCCCATACAGGTGTTCCTGTATTAGATTGAATTGATGATCTAAAAATTAAAGAATAGAATAAATACGTATAACAACACAAGCATTTCTCGAAAATATCTCATTTTCTTAATAGGACATTAACAGTTTGAAATCTGTAACAATGAAATAGCTCTAAGGAATTTGTTTTCGTTCTATTATTTTTAGTGGAACTTGATAATTTGATGTTTCTGACATAAATTAAAAATTATACTCACGTATATGATATTCGATCATCAATATTTGCAATAAAATATGGGTCAGCATGTCCCATCAGATCCATCTTTGGTAAGCCCTGAAAGAAGAAATGTGTTGACAGATTAAATGAGTAATAAATTTACCTCGGCGGAATAAAATTGAATAACAGCATCATAGCTAGCCTCAGAATTATCTAAAGTCAAAAATGTTGGTTGGACCAGTGCAGTTTTAATACCATCAAACACTGAGTGAGCAGACATTCCTGAATTGATCAGAATTTAAATCGAAACAATAATAAGCCAAAACAGTTGCGAGTTGATGTAATGACGATAAAATATTCAATATATCATTTGTCAAGAATGATTTTTCTGTTGACTTGGTTCTTTTTCCTTCTGGTGTCCTTTTGCAAATATTTAAGCGTGTGGACGAGAATGAAACATGTCGCACTGCAAGTTTTTTTCTCTCTAAGTTATCATTTTATTTCCTTTACTGTTCTACGACGTAACTCGAATCCACCTTCTTTGCTATTGTATCGCAGGTATATGCTGTATAAAATACTACCACTATCTTAATCTTTTTCTTGTCGCAGAAGAAAACTAAAACAGAACATTGATTGATGGCGTAGTTCGAACGAATACTGAAAATAGTCAAACGCATTTGGTAACGATACAGCATGTACAGCACATGAATAATCCTTCATTATTTTCAAACACTCGAGCGCGCATGTAATTCTTGACGCATTTTTTGTGTACTCGAAAAAAAAAATGCGTACACTAGAATCGGTTAGTGTGTCCGGCCAGCCGTTTGCATGATAACTCCTGAAAGGCTGATCCGATTGTCATGAAATTTTGTGCACAGAATGATCTCATTAATATTTCAGTTGAGTTCGAAGATGAGAGAGATCAATCACGAAATGGCTGAGTTATCGAAAAAATTGTCATTATTGACTAGGCCATCCCTGGGGGGGGGGAGTACAGGGATTTTTTTCAAAAACAAACTTTTTTCTCAGTATTATTCACAACATATATAAATCGACTCAGTTTTTGCAGTACACATAGCAATCGGATGCAAATCCGATGTTTCCGCATTTATTTTCTTAATTATTTACGAAGTTGACGCGAAAAGGTTTTCATAAAACGCAGGTGTAAACTGGTGGTAACTATGGCTGAGACAAATTTGTCTAGATCTTTCACTGTGTTGATTGTAAATTTTAGATGGAGCTATGATTTGTACTCATTTTCGATCGCTTAATTTTGCTTTCATTTTTCTTGTTGTTGAGAATATCGAATACAAAGATTATTATTGTATTTTGTCTCGAAACATCGACAACGAATTCGCTGATCTTCGTGTTTTGCGTATTGACATAGAAAGATCAAATACATGTTGTATTTTGTTTTTTGATAACTTTGCCTGACAGAATCATATGCGTAGTAGAAAAAGATGATTTATGAAAACTTACTGATAGATATAATATTGCACAAGAATTGCAGTGAAAATAGAGAAGTTCTAGTCGATTTTTAACGATTCTTATATTACGTATGTAAGGAGAGGTCAATAAAATTCCAGCTATAGTTTTAGATCATTTCAGTAATTTAATAGCATCTTGCATTGCGATAGTTCATATTTTCATACATCAAAAATTGATACAGTGCTTCTCAATAGCATTGCCATAGTCTTTCCTCATTCTCACGTTTCTTTTCCTAATCGTGGAAGGGTATCTGTAGTATCCACATCTATATTTGAGTGAAGAGTGGAAAGTTGACTTCTCAAACAATATATGTTAATAATTTATAACATTGCAATAGAAATTTATTATCGACACTTAGATTATGCCTTGATCCATTACGATGATAATCCTTCGAATCCTGTCTTTATAGTTATTTAGAATTATACATAAAATGCATGATATATCTTATGGTATCTGAGCAGTATTTTTGTTAAACCAAATACTAAAATAGCCAGTGTCATTTCGATATGTCGATTGATTTCTTTTCTCCATTAACCAAGTCAAAAAATCTGGTAAAAAAGAGTTGATATCAAGTAACATGTTAAATGTAATACTCGATAATTGTTTTAGTCGTTCAACGATTAACTTCATTTCATCAATACTTTGAATGGCTACTTGTAAATGTTTAATATGGTTAGGTACTAATAAACAAATGTTTTCAGCGTTGGTCGACGAACTATCGATCGTCAAGGATTGTAAGTTCGATGTTCCTTTAAGTAAATTCGTAATATTAGTAAGTGTATTTGAAATATCGTTTGGATCAAAATCTACGCTGACCGATAATTCAACGATACATGATAAATCAATAAACGCCGAGAGATATTCACTTGAACCATCTGGCCATTCATTACCAGTAAGAAGCAAGAGTTTGTTCATTTTACGAAAGAAAGGAGAACTTGGTAACGCATTCTATAGAAGAAGAAAAAAATGATATGATTTCAAATTATTCATAAATTAGATGATGATACAAGACAAACAAGTGCACCAAAATGATCATTTTTATGAAAGTTTCAGTCAGATAATGATAGTCGATTTCATGTGCATTGACATCTGGTCTCAGCGCTATATGTTTGGAATGTGCTGCATTCGATGATTTTGGCAACTATGAACTATAATAGGATCCTCGCTGTTGGATAGATCAATTAGTGATTCATGAAAAACTTAACAATGTGTAGTAAATTTGATATCGATAGTGTTTGACCAATGGCTATTACTATAAGTAATACTGAAGCAGAGATTCTATGTTTATTTTCGAGCAACAACTCTTCTTGTGTCCTATTTAAAAATCAAAATTTTCAACATGCGTACGATTTAACTCTCGACTTTTGAATTAAAATTAGTAGATTTTTCCTATTATCAAATTTTTAAGTCACTTTCAGTTTACTGGACATCACTATTTGTTGTCTTATTCAAGCATCAGCTTATGAAAATCCGTTGGAGGGCTTAAAATTATTTCAATACCTTTGCATTTCGATCATAATGCGCCATTAAATCGGTCAAATTTAATTGCATTTCATGAACATTATCTGTCATTGAAGCATCATTATACAACGTCGAATGAGTCGAACATGTGATTTTATCTTCATGAGGATAAAATCTCACCTTTGTTTTACAAATAGGTAACGAATAAAGACTATAAATAGCTGATTTTTTAAAATAATAACAAATAACAAACCAATGTTTGTTCTCAATCCAGAATGGCGTTCGATAGGAAGTAATCAATGATTCAACATCAGTTGGATTGTTAAATTCATAATCGGTATTACCACAAAAAGCAAATTCGAATCGATTTAAATTTTTTAAATGCTTCTGAATGAATTTTTCCCAACAAGCACCATCAAAAAGATCGGTTTCTCCGACTATATGAAGATGCTGCAATGAAGGTGTCAACGATAATAGCAATTCAAATTCATCCATATGTAATTCACTATCATCAAATGCCAATGAAGTTAATTGCGGATAAGTGGTCGAACGATCGATTTCAGTCAAATCTTCCATAACACAATCTTGTAATAGAAGTCTTTTTAGCTTAGAACAATGAGAGAGTATGCTGGAAAATTTTTTAAACGATATACGACTAGAAAGTATTAAAGATTCTAGTCGACATTGATTGGGCCATGGTAAAGCTTCCATTCTATTCCATGATAAACCGAAATCAAGATGTTGAAGATTCTCATTGGATATGATCGTATAGATTAATGGTAATGTTTTCGGATTTTGAATACTATTTTTCTTTCGAAAAGTAAATGATAATGATACAATCATATTCTTCAGTTGAAATATAGTATGAAAATCATTTTCATCGATATCAACGAGAGTTAATGAGCGTAAACGAATACATTTTTCAAATGGAACCAATGAAAGAAATAACGAGATTTGATTTGTTGTTCGGTTACTATTCGAAAGCGTTAGGGAAATAATATTTTCTGGTGTAATAAAATGGCATATCGCATCAAAATATGGTTTCGATACTGATCGAAAGTCAATGTCATATTGATTGTATGAATTAATAATCGACCGAAATCGTTTACAAACATTTCCAAAGGAAAAAATGATAGTTTTATTATCGGCAAAGCTTAAAATACGAAATATTAACTCAACTGGAAGTGAAGAAAGTGGGGCAATATTGACGTTGCTCGCAGTCATTTTATAATTTCCAACGTGCCTTCACCTTTCTGAGTCTCGGCGAAAGAAACAGTAAAAACAAATATTGTTTTCGTTTTGTTGGTAGAAAAGAAAAGAAAAAACTAGTCGCAAAAAATAATATTCGCGAACATTTTTGAATACAGCTGAAGACGCCAAATTACCATTGGATCTGTACAAGTCAAATTATTATTCACACTAACAACTTCAAACAGATCAGTTCGTAGTCGCCATATAATTTAAACTAAAGCTATTCTCAATAGATCAGTACAATAAAGTACACGTGTATAGACCGAGTGGGTTTAATATATTGTTTTCACTTGATCAAATAATAATGAGTAACAGTACACCTATACTGTAATATTGCTTGTTGAGGTAAGCAAAAAAAAAGACAGCCGTCGTTTGCAAGTAGAAAATACATCTTTCTGCCCTACCTTGATTGATTGAATATAGGGACGGGGAGCCCCATTGTGTAACTTTTCGATACGTTTATCATGAATGGATGATAGACGTACATTCTTGCACTCATTATCGTTAAACATAAAAACGCATTTAATTAATTTAAAATAACTACCTGTTCCATTGCTAGCTAAAATTAAAATATAATATCAGATTAAAAAGAAAACTCTTTTTGAAAATGAAACCAAACCTGGTTTCGATTCCTCAAGAAAGCATAGAGCGTAAATAGGAGCAAATGATTATATCTAAAAGTAAATACATATGATTTAGTCGATCAAAGAATAAATGTAATGAGAATTAAATTGAGTCTGTTTTTCGTATGGAAGATTATTTGTTGACACGTGGAGTTTTCTGGAAAAACAAATAGTATCAAGGAATAATCATATGATTACAATGTTTCTCATTCGGATACTAATTTTTATAAAAGTCGAAACTTACGAAAAAAAACAACGACAACTATATCTGTCTGATTTAATAGATTGATCGTATTGAAAATCTCCCTACCGAATATTTAGCATGAATAAATATAAGATCTATTTAAGTAAGACAAAATTTATGGATTTTCAAGTCTGTGTAACTTATCAGTATCGGTTCATTTTATTAAGAAAATGAATGAGCACCGTAGTTCGATGTTAACTACAAGTGTACAGTTACTTGCGCATGTTATTGCCCATCGAATACGTAACTTATTGACCTATTATTTATTTTTGCAGTGAGTAGTAACATAGTTTTATAGCTTATACAAGATATCATTTTCTCGCCATACAAGCAATAAAAATGTAAATTTTATTATGAAGACATTGAAATACAAAAGCAAAGCGTTTTTACGTGCTTTCTTTATTCAGCATCCGTTGATAGTATATATAGGATTACCATCGCTTTGTTTAATTATAATATCGAATGTTGCACATCATTGTTTGACTCGGCTCATTCAGGTACAGCATTGCGTTTATTTTTTGGGTATCGCAAAAGACAAATCAGATCCTGAAACAACATGCCGTAAGTAAAAAAGAATAATATAGATGTAATGAATCTGAGTCTAAATCGACACGCTTGGATTGATTCGAATTGCATATGCTTTGTTGCAGTTTCGATTAACTTTGATCGACTATATGAGAAAAAAAACGTATCTAAAACATGGCGATGAAGATCGATTTTTACCGGACAAAAAACTAAGCATCTCACAGAAACATCGTATTGTACGCTTTAACATGATCGAAAATTTGATTTTTTTATGGTTAATCCAAGGGGGAACAAACTGATCTCGAGATTTTATGATTTCAACTGGTTTCAACGGATTTCAAGTGATTTCTGATGATTTCAAGTGATTTCGAGTGATTTCAAGTGACTTCGAGTGATTTCAAGTGATTTCGAGTGATTTCAAGTGATTTCGAGTGATTTCAAGTTGATTTCGACTTCCGAAATCAGTTTGTTCCCCCTTGGCTGTTTGTAAATTTGCTTGTCGAGTTGAAGGTGGTTTTGTTCGTGATTGGATCGTTGGAAATTACATAGCTCGCCCAAAGAAAGATCCGCCAGATTGGTTAGAACCTGAATCTAATCCAAAAATCCCTGCACTAAATAAATATTTAGTTCCATCGGATCTCGATTGCCATTTACCATCACATAAATATTTTGATATTGATAGATTTTTGGATACTATGCATAAATATCGAATTGAATGTACCGTGTTTCGAGAAGATTGGCGCCATGTACTATTACTAGATCAAACTGCGAAAACTGGCCCATTTACGGTGGATTTAACCGAACCTCATGTGGCTTTAACACATGATCGTATTGATTTGGATGTTAGTAATTTATCATTAGAAAATGATTATAGGAAAGAATTAGACATGAGAGTTGATATTACATATAAGCCATATACCATAGAATTGGAAGCTATAGTTGATAATATAAAAGAATAAACGCTTTCAAGTGCTACGACCAATTGATGATTTTCTTCAACCTCGTATTGAAAACATGACGCGTCGCAGTTGGGCACAACTTGGACAACCAATGCATGTTATCCCGAATTGACCACCGAAATATCAGGTTATCATTGTGCCTTTGCCAGAATCAACGGAATTATATTAAACGGTAGTTCAGACGATGAAAACCCATGTCAATAATCAAGTTCAAGTATCATCTATTGAACAAATAAAAAATCCCCTATTAGAAGAATCTTATTTAGCAATGAAACAGTTAATTGCTAAACAATGCAAAGGAGAAAATCCGAGCGAGCGTGAACTATTCCATGGAACAAAAGGTAAAGCTATTGACGAAATATTAAAGGACGAATTTGATGATCGATATTGGGAGAAAATTTTTCAAGATGCAAATAGGGTAAAATATAGAAGACAATAGTAGTTGGCTTCATTTTTTTAAATTCTTTTTCTTTTATCACGGCATGGTGCTTATTTTGCTGATAATCCAAGTGTTTCACATAGATACACTGAAGCAAATCCCAACGATAATGTACGTATTATGTATTACAATAAAGTTGTTTTGGGAAACGAATCAATACTTCAGTACAAAATAACGATTTGATGTCGGCACCCAAAGGTTATCATTCAACGTATGTACAATTCCCAGGTCAACTAAATGACGATGAATATATTGCCATATTTAAGAGTAACTTATATAGGATAGAGGAATGGCTCTTATTTTAGTATTGAAGTGGCTTGAATTCTGTTTTTAGATCAGATTCTTGTTATTGACTTGATACGAGAAAATTATTTTTAATTGTCAATTTTTTTATTCAATAAAATTATAATCACTAAAAATTGCTGATAACTGACACTATTCATTTACTTCTTCATTTTAACAATTAATAATCGGCGTATAAAAATTAGAGTGTGCACATTAGTGAAGAGAATATGCACAAGTCACGATCTTTACGATAGTCCTTCGATTTCATTGAGCAAAGTTTATCCTTTGAATATAAGATTTTCTCAATCATGTAATAACTATTCATTACAAAAGTAAGAAAACAAAAGTGACAAAGCATTTTTCTAGAACTTTTATTAATATAGATATTCACTCGGTAAGTATGCTGTTGAAATGCTGTCGAAATGCTGTTAAAAACTGCGAGAGTTTTGTTTTCTGTTTCGATTTCGACTTCAAGATATAACTATGCAACGGAGGTATTTTATTCGTTTCTCGATCGATCCAAACTCGAATAAGAAATTGTTGTACCGGATGTCTTGTGATTATAGATGCTGATGTTATATAAGATTGCAACCATCGAACGAGTTCATTTTTTACGGATGAAAATCTTCGAAAAAACTCTCTATCGTCTTCACATTCAAACATTAACAATCGAAGATTTGACATTTGTTGAATAAGATCGAGAACATTTTTTCGATGTTTAATACGAATTGAAAGAACTTCACATCGATTTCCGAGTGTTGAACTGATTAAAATGAAACAATCGTCTTCATTGAAATGCACCGATTGATTAAGCAAAGCTTCTATTAAATCAATTCGTCGAATAGATTTACTTGTTAATTGAAATAATTTTGAAATAGGACCAACACATGATTGTAATTTGAGCGAATAAAGACAAGGAGCTTGGTCGAATACTGTTTGCAATTGATCATAACCAGAATGTTTATATATAGACACATGAAGTGATGTTAAATAATTTAATGATAGAAAACGAGACCAAAATCTATCATCAAAAGGAATATTTACCTGTAAATGACAAATATTACGAAAGCGAGCTCTTAAAAGACTAAAATTATCTAATAAAGTATTTTCTACAGTTCCATGACCAAACGATTTAACACAATCGCATGACCAATAGTTTCCTTCGGCGGGGCAGGTTGATTTAGTACAAGATTTATTTGAACAATCGAAGCCATCAAAACAATAAGGCAATGTGTAGAGTGTCGCCCATTTATATGGATCCGATGGATTCCAATGGCATCGAACATACCATTGACGTTCTTTCAGCCAAAATGGCGTTTGAAAGGATGCAAGCAATCTATCAATAATATCTTCAAGCGTAATATTCACCTCTCGAAATTCTACTTCCATTTTCAGTTGAAACACTGTCAATTGAGGAAGATAATCAGAAATAAGTTGTTCCCATGTTTTACCGTCGAAATAAACTTGTACTGTAGTAATCGTTAAGCGAGATATGTTAGGCATATACTGTAATAGATTATTTAAAGAGTTTAAGGTGCCTCCAAAAACAATTTTTATTGATTGCAATAATGGAACAACACATTCCAAATGATCGTTAACCAAATAAGAATATATAGTTGTACAAAGTTGTTGAAGTCGAGGTGTAAATTTGAGTAAATGTGATAAACAATTTAACGTACATGGAATATTCTGAATTGAAAGACATTTGATACGTGGTGACACTATTGAAATAGTCAATAGCAATGCTTCATCTGCATAGAGACCACTTAAATTACAATGTGTAAGTGCTGACAAACTCCAAATATTGTTCAAAAAATCAACTAAACTATTTATTCGTCTTTCTCTATCGGTAGATTTAATTATGTTAAGATGTGTGAGATAAGGAAGATGCCGACATTGATAGATTATTTTATTCAATGTACCGACGTCATCAATGCTATGTAGTGATAAGGATTGTAAACAAATAAATCGATCGAGAGTGAATCCACGAGATAGGAGAAGCTCAGATAAACCAGGTGATTCATCGGACGAAACGCAAAACGACGTAATATGGCCAATGGTTAATGGAAGATATTGCTTAGAAATAATATCAAAATTTTGTTTTGATAATGACCGTAGATCAAGTGGATGAGTTCGAATATGATGATAGAGAAGTTCGTTAAAACGAGAGTTTAATCCAACGAATGCTTGAAGAAGATGAGCAGTAGTGAAGAATTCAAAAAGATCAAGTAACAATTCATTCGCTAATGATTCAAGTTGAGCCATATTTATCTTTTGTGTTGGAGTGAAGTGAAAGGTCCCTCTTAGAATCTTGTTCTAGCACTGGAAAAAATAGAATGTGTTAGTTTTATCGTTATTTGTCAACAAACTTCATATTACTTGATCATTCATCTGTGACACGATTTTGCTTTTCTTCCTTTGATAAGGACAGTCGTTGTACGAAGAAAAACATAATGTTTATTTTTATCTATACTATTAGCTTGTCACGTGTGAAAATTACCATTATCGATGCGAATAAAAAGAAAACTAAATATTTTTAATAATAAAATAGTTCAAATCAATTGAAGGTATCATTAGTAAGCAATAGGAGAAAAAATAAATACAATCATCAATGTAAAAAAACGTGTACTTCTAACTATAGTTGAGAAATAGCCCGATGGATGTATAAAAATTTTAAAAGGCTGTAGCTTTTTAGCGCTTCACCGTCCAATTAAGACGAATTAAAATGATTTCGCGGTCGGTAGACATACGTTTCTATTCAAAGTTGACTTACAAATACGACACATAGCAATGTTCTGATTTATTTTTTAATGAAAACGTCGAATAAGAAACGACTATGACACGATGTTATTTTAATGTGCAACTGAAAACAAGTATTTTATGCTTAAATCACTTTAAAAACTTGATCACTGTGTAAAATTACTGCTTTATGCTCCAACGAAGTGACACATTTCAGTAATTTTAAATGGCGACTGGATTTACTGTAAAATATTCAACCTTTAAACATAAGAAAATACAGCAAAACGTACAAAACTAGTAGAATTCATCTCGAAACGACGCAATAGACTTACGAACTGAAAAGCAAGATACTTATTTGAAGATTATTTTATGATGAATAAACTGAAACAGCGATGTTTTGAAACGCTTGAGAAAAATCGCAAATAGTTCAAGAAATAACACGATTAGTATGCAGTTATTTCGTCATATGTTGTAATATAAATTGAGATATTGTTTTATGCTCAAATCGATTATTGACTAATGCAATTCTCAAGCACAGAAAATATTTATTCATATTTTCGTTTCTAAAAATGCATTGATTGAATCGATCAAATTTAATAAATGATAGCTCCACCATTATTTCGAAAAACCGGCATGTACCAAGGCAGCTCTCAAATATTAAATTTTAATAAATAAGTCGTTTAATGTTGAGTGGTTTTATCTTTTAGTGCGTGTGAAAATCTACATTTAATCAGAATAAAATCAATTTCTTCTACTGAAGTATTCAATAAAAATTTATAGGAAATCAAAATTCTATGTTATACAACATGCTATATGATCTCCAAGCAAAGAAAATGTAGAAACTTGAAGATTATTATTATTAGGAAAAAACATACGAATTAGTTATTTCTTACGCGATCAACACTTTTTTCGGTTTGATCAAGCATCTATTTGTAATCACAAAGTTAACTCAAATGAGAAAATAGTTTTTCAATATTCAGTAATCATTTTCTATACAGGATTTCTACTCTGTGCTCTTAATTCATTGATCCGAAGGATATTGAAAATTTTACAGCGTAATTTTATGCCTTTGAAAATTGTAGCTCTTGGTCATAACTTTTCGATGTCATACAGTTTAAAGCCTTCAGTTATTATTGTTCTGTGTGCTTTTGTTTCTTTAGTAAGTTATTCCGGTACGCAAACATAAACCTCATATCCTAAGTTGTCTTTCATTTTCTAAGAATGAAAAGTGCTTGAAACAATCGAAATCGCTCGGTTAGTATCTATCAAGATCGATATTAGGTAGGTCTATTTGCATAGCATATTTTTATCTGAGATGTGTATTTACGCATTCATGGTAAAATTAGTAGTTGGCAATGAATAGAGCATTTGCTCCAAGAATAACAAACGCATATCAAGATAACAGTTCATAATATTTTCTACAAAATAGTGTTGTGCTTTGATGAATTTATCGAGTTTGGTTCTCAAATATTTTCTCAGTCATTTAGTCATTCTTTGTTATTACGTAGAATATTATTAAAATATGGTAATTTATCAGACATTTGTCGCTCAAGTAGTGACTAGATAAAAATAAAATAATAAAATTTTTGACATACAATGGTTGGCAGTCGTCATTGAATCCACATGCGTTGCCGATAAATAATCATGAATAAGGATAATGGATCCGTTTTTCAGAATGCGTTCCTTTTTTATTATTACTGGAATACTCATTGAGAAAACTTCTATTTATCTACAAAAAAAAACAACAAGTCTACTAGCGTTTTGCTCATTTATGATTGATGAGAAGAAAAAATAGATTTTTTTCTTTTAAATACGTAAAATTTTTGTTTTAAGTCATCTTTTTTGATTATAATTATATCTCATACAATGTTCTGTATCCACGATATTCGACAACCGGCTGTATTCAATATAACGATGCATATATTGTGTCTTATTATGGGTTTGACATAAAACTATAATAGACCGATGCATCGATTTTTCCCTGTAGTTTTAGGGCTAAGTTCAAGATTTTGCAATGGACTAAATGTTTCTCAATCCAGTGATGAGATTGACTTGGGTTCATCAACAATTCTGGCAACTGACACTCTCTCAGACACAAGTAGCTCAGATGTAGTGACTTCAAATTTAGGTGATACTACTCAATCTCATTCGGCTAAAACTCATAAAACAGCCTATATTACAACTGATATCGAAACATCTACTGGAACGGTCAGTTATACAACTAATGAGACTACAGAAGGTATGGTGTTATATAAAATGTAATTCTTTGTACATTGATGATTGTTAATTGTCTTCAGATGAAACCACATTTTATGAAAATTCAACCTATATGCTTGCAACCACAAATACTGATACCACAACTACGCCTAAACCTCCACGTTCGTTGTGAATTATCTGATTATTTCATTAAATTTCTAGTTTTCCTCTTTGATTTTTAGCAAAGAAAAAATTAGGTCTCATTCTTGGTCTTTCACTTGGCCTTGGATTACCATTGATTGCTGGCATAGTTGTTGCTACTGTTTGCTGGAAGCATAAAATAACTTCAACTTGGCAGACAGTGAAAACGTTATTTTAATTGTCCAGTGTAATAGAATGGTGATGATATTAACCAAGGCGTTTGAAAAATTCAAATAGATTTTCTATCCATTGATTAAATTCATGTGCTTATTGTTTTTTTTTTATTGTCTATGATTATCTATAGAAATATGTCAGAATCGACTTTAAAATTGAGTTAGTTTTTTATCACAAAAGCGATAATTTCTCATTTTAAAATCTAATCGTTTAAATTCGAACTTGGCAAATGATAACAGGCTTTTGTAATTAGAATTCATTAATAAATGTGATTTCTCTGAATATTTTTTAGTCAATTTAATAAAAAATACAAATTCATTGTATTCATTTTTTGGAAGTGCTATTTGATATTTTAATTTTCAAAATAAAAACATCGAAGATTGATATACGTGGGTCACTCTGAAAGTTCCCGGATTTGCACTACTGATAGTTCAATTTAAAGCAACTTTATTATATTTGTTCAAAGTAATGTCCTTCTGGACTAATGCACTTATTCATTCTTTCGAACCACTGTTCATAATATTGGTAGAAGTCTTCTTTTCGGTGACCGTCCGTTTGTTCCTGAATAGCAGCATGAAGTTCATTGATATCCTCGAAACTTTTCCACGAAGCTGCTCTTTAATTTTTGTAAATAGCCAGAAGTAGCAGTGGCTCAAATCCGGTGAGTATACTGGATGACCCATCAATTTAACACGGTGAGCTTCTAAATATTCCATTGTTTGTATCGCCTTGTGTGCTGATGCATTGTCATGATGAATAATGAGATCGTTGAGACGTCGACGTTTCTCCACTTCTTTTAAAACATGTGACAGACATTCATTTGTACACCAATTAGCTGCAACTGCCTTACCGTTTTCAAGAGGAATAATTGTGTTAAAACCAGATTTCATTAAAAAAATTGCAAACATATGCTTGCCAGTAGAACGTAGTCTACAAACTTTGGTTGGACGAGGATCATTGCTTGCAACTCAAACTTGGCTGTCACACTTCGTTTCTGGATCATAATAGTAAAACCAGCTTTCGTCGCCAGTAATAATATCATAAACACGTTTGGATTTGCCGGGATCGAACTTTCCCAACATTTTCAGGCAATAATCAACACGGCCCTGTTTTTGAGCTTCAGTCAAAAAATGAGGCACCCAACAGCATGTCATTTTTTTAAACCAAGATAATCATGGAGAATAGATTGAGTTGCTGCTGATCCAATCCGCAAGATGTCTCGTATTTCTTGGTATGTGATAGGTGGATCGACGTTGACCAGCTGACGAACAGCTTCGATGTTTCCTGGACTGACCACACTTCTTCGTCGACCAGCAGGAGGTTCATCTTCAAAGGGATTTCTGCCACGACTAAATTCAGCATGCCAAAAGTAAACTGCTGTACGTGAAACACAAGAGTCACCTAGTGTTTTTTGTAAAGATTCCAAGCATTGTTGTTGTGACAATTCTTTTTTGTAATCACAATAAATCATAACTCGAAATTCTTCTCGTGTGAGATTCATAGCAATGCCAAAAAAATATGTTAGCAGTATATCAATTAATCTATACAAAAAAAAAGAAAGGAAAAATATTCAAGAGCCCAAATTTTGTGGACTTTCTTCTAAGACTTGTATCTACTACTACAACTAACAAAACCATACATATAATTGAGAATCCGGAAACTTTCAGAGTGACCCACGTATATATATATTAATTAATCATTAGCGACTTTAGACATTTACTATTCTCGAATTCGCAATTTATCTTTCCGGCAGAATACTAAGTCTTGTTATAGTTACAAAGACATTTATAATCTTCTATTTTTGAGATACGTACTGAAAAAGAACAACATAACTCTTACTTCTATCAACATATTTCTTGAGTTGCATTCTCAACCGGAAGCCATATTTACTCTGCTAGTTCGCTGCGTATATTTAGCGTTGACGTCAATTGCATGCGTACGGTTATGTGCTGCGTGTGTTTTCGCATGCGTATCACAACTACAAAATATGCATCGATCAATCCGATTACTCATTTGAAAACGCTGATATACATGATATCATAGTGATTGCTTGCAACCAGTTGATTGCCCTACTCTTTTAAATAATTTAACTTAATGCTTATTAAACGATATCCAAACACACTTACAATTCAGTTGTTCCAGACGAAGCAAATTTTTATACGCTTTATAGTCACAACAGAAGTTTGTGGCGAATGAACAAAAGGTTCATCACTGTGGTTTTCTATTTCTCGAATAATGTTCAGCACTTTGTGTTCATTGTCTGCAAAACCGTGTAAATAATTCAAGGAATAGTTATCGTTCGGAGCACAACTCAGGGTAGACACATTCATAGACTATTCGAATTGTTGAAGTATTTTAACATTCGCTGTGAAAATTCCACGGTACAGTAATAAAAGTGATGATTTAGAAATATGTCATAATAAAACTCAACATAGTTATAAACTAAAAATGCTTGCTGAATTTTTTTTAAAATATGCATCTTTGAAATGCTTGTTGTTCGAACAATTTTTCTCTAGACAAGGACAAAAAATAAATAAAATAAGTTGTACGATGCCAGACAGCGTTGAATGGTAAGTCTCTTACGAATGTAAAATCAAACCGAGGTTCATTGAGATATTAAAAAGAATACTGATCGATCCTCAATTCTGCAACACAACGTTAACACCGCAAAGAAAATCGTTTGTGATTCTTCATTTATCAGCAGCTAATTCAACGCGCTGCTTCATGGATGAAACTAGAAATTGAGTAACAATGAATAGATTCAAGAAATAGATATAAATAATTGAGCTGTAGTTTATCCGTAGACGTATCTTCGAAATAGCACAAATTATTTTTATCTCCGAATCTATTACAGGTAATAGATTTCTCCATCCAAATCGCCATCTGTTGTCTTTTTGATAAAAAGTTACCAATACATAATTTCAAGCTATATTCTTTTGATGTTTGAATTCGAAAAGAAATTTACAAAAACATGATAGTCTGCATCGATGACACATGCATAACTATCTGAGGAAACCTATTTTGCGCATTTCATACATATTTTTTTATTTATTAAATGAACTTGTTAAAGCATTTGCTAAATTTTCTCCGAGGCACTTCACATGCGAAGTGAAAGAAAGAAGTTAAAATCGTAGAAGTATGCAATAATCAATCAGAACAGTCTCTTTTTCTCTTCGCAACTGAATAAACTGAAGTGCTCCTTTCTGTAAACGCTCGGACGTCGGTTGATTTACTATTTCATCGCCTTTTAAATTATTTTCCCTAGACATATAAAAACAATACGGAAGCATCAAAATAAATGTTCCCTTGCATTGTAAGCAACAAAACGTATAATTTCAAAAGTATTTTAAATCCTCATCGAAATCAATGGATTAACAATGCCAACGAGTAGTGAAAACCTTGCTGCATCTAAGCCACTCAAAATATTCTTTTATAAAAACGTGAGTAATATCCACAGAGATATTTTTCAAATGAGTCTAACTATCGCCTTTGTTTATAAAATAAAAAAAGTTCGAGTTCAATTATAGTTTGAATGTAACTCATTGAAAATTACTTATTTGTCGCTATCTATTTACAGGGCAATAGTACGGCACCATTGAGAACTATTGAAATAGTAAGAAATAGTCAATTCGACTCACTCCAGAATCACTCATCACCGAATATAAGATCAACAACTCCTCGAGATATTTATAGACCATCGGACAATCTTAGAGAAGTACCAACCAATGAAAGGTATTTCATGTCTACAGTTAAATATCAGAATTTTTAAAATTGAAATCGATATTATTTGCCATTAGATGAAAAAAAGAACATTTGCTACTAGCACTAATTGCATTAATTCTATTGTTTGCTATTGGTATATTCTCTATGTTAATTGCTACTCTTGTTCTATTGACTAAAACAACTACAACAAGTGAGTAAATCTTCGTGGAATATATTTATTACAGGCGTTCGTGTAGAGGACACAAATTCGAATGAAATATTATTATGTACATATTTCATATTAGTTATCGAATTGTTTCTAGCAACGACTACAACTACAACCACAGTTACTACCACAGGCATGACTATTCTGGTACAAATTAATAAATGAGATGTTTTTTTCCTTCTAAATAAATCTATTTAGCTAAATGTGTTTCACCTTATGTGCAAGCATCATCTGGAATTTGTGTTAATATAGTTATTGATATTAATAATTGTGGGAAACTTAATAATGTATGTCGATCGAATTTCACAAGCTGGTCAGCTGGTCTATGTAGTAATTTGACGAGTATCAAATTGATTAATGGGACATGTATTTGGTCAGCTTCTGTCAATGGATTTATTGATGATCAAAGTTTTACTGTAGCTGTACCATTTAATATAACTCTTTATAACACAACAACAAAATCCGTTTCAGTAACAACGAATGGCGTAAGTTGCACATCGACTTACTAAATTTTTGAGTGTTGGTTTTATACTGAATAGGTTATTTGTCTTTCAAGTTGTTCGACTGCTTTCACCGAAACTGCTCTTCCTGCTAGTGCATTTTCTGGCGCAACAGCTCTACCATTCTGGAATGATCTATACATTTCTGCAAACACATCTCAAGGCATCTACTATGATACACAAGGAATTGCTCCTAATCGAACGCTTATCTTTGAATATTACTCTAGTCATTATCAGCAACCGACTGATTACTGCAATTTTCAAATCATACTCCATGAAAATGTGCCTGGCGTTGTACAATTTATTTATTATGAAGCTACTGATGGCGGTGTTTCTGCGACTATTGTTGTTCAAGGTAATCGGGATTGAACGAAAGACATTCATTTATCGACTGAAATCAGTTTTTTATGCTTTAGGCTCAAGTAGTGGCCCATTTATACAATATTCATTTGATCAAGCAAACTCTGTGGCACAAAATATGGTTCTCACATTCGATACCAATACTGGAACATACAGTAGTGCGAACATTGGATAGAAATGTATGACAGTTGGAAAGCATTAATCTCATGTTGTTGTTCTTTTTTTCTCGTAATCGAATGACATGCGAGATTAAAATTTTTGTTGCTGAAGTTTCAACAAAAATAGTAGTCTAATCCTGTTATTCGTATTTAATTAACGAAATTATTTTTAAAAAGCTTCGCTGTACGCTATTGATGAAACTCGAAATGTTGAATGTGAGCTTGAGTTCGTATGAAAAGAACGCTCACGCTGAAACAAATAAATTTAGTTTTAATGAGAAAGTCTCATCTGCTATATCATATCTGTAAAATTAGCTAGAGAACGTTTCCATGGTGCATTATAGATAAGTTTTGTTTGAAATGTTACCTAAGTTTCACTCACGGACCTATTGCTCATTACTTTGAGTCTTTTTTATTTTGGGTGATTACGATTTGTTTTCTTCTTTGATCTATTGGGATTCTTTATAAATATATATATATATATTTATAGCTGATTGAAATGAGAACATGCTACTACTGATTGCACGACTCCAAAAAGCATCAACAGTGTAGAATGGCGAGTGAATGCGAACGAGATACTCGCAGGCATATTCAAAAGAAATACTCAGTGGGTTATGTACAAAGCATCATTGTATATTCTAAATGTTTCGAAGGGCCATGTTTTTGTTTTTGTTTTTTCAAATTTCTATTTCCACTCGTTACTAAGGAAATATTCTTTATTTGACTTTTTATTGAAAGTAAGTGATATCATAGCAAGCAATACATAAAAAATATATATTAAAACAATGTAATATAAATAGTTATGGAATAACAAATAAATTCTATCAACGGTTTCAAGCTATTTTAAAGATGAATATCAATACTTTCAGCAGACAAGTATTGATCTAAATCCAAATTGTCCAGAGCGCTTGTCGACAGTGCACAATTGATAACAGCTGCTAAAACATAAAATAAACGATCGCTTTGTCTTTTCTGAAAATCATTCTATAGAATTATCATTCTAAGATCAATCATAAATACTTGACAGTGTTTCATTTCGGTACAATAAATGCTAATTTTCTTGACAAATACTATGCTAACTCAGTTTTTCCAGTGAACTCAACGATCATGTATATCTTCTTGGATAAACTACATGACTCAATTTTAATGATTCTATTTTACAGGTCAGCTCTATCGCTCGTTATACTTGTAAATTTCTCCATTGAATTTCAATACCGTATCAAAATAAATCGCTCTTGTTGGAGATTTAGTAGCATTAATTCTTGGTACAAACATACCTGGCTTAGCATTAGTCGCATTAAACGCAAGCTGTGGTGGAATACAGTCAGTCTCAGCCAAATTGTCGTCATCGTTTACATCATGACCAGCCAGACGAACAAATATTTGCTCAAGTGTTGTTTGGTTCACCGAGTAGTTTTCAATAATATTCTGCTCTTTTTTTGTATTAAGTACTTCAAATACAAGGGATAAATTAGACGAGAGTGGCGCATTGCAAAACAGCACACCGTTCTGTTCATCTATTGGGGGAAAGAAAAATTTAATAAGAAGAAATAATATGCCGTATGTACCTTGGATTTTGACTCCTGGCAAAGTTGTCTTAATTTCTTGTTGAAATTCGCTCATTCTTTCAGCGGGTACTTTTATTCGTACTGCATAGCCTTTACCAAAGCGAGTTTTTAAATGTTGAAGGCTACCAAGGCAAATAAATTGGCCCGATTTCATAATACCAATTTCTGTAAAGCAGCAAACATAACACTCGTAAACAAGTCGAATATTTTTAGAAGAAACAATAACTTACTTGTGCATAATGCCTCGCATTCTTCCATGCTAAAAACTTACAGAAATATAAATCTTTTTCCTAACGATTATTTATCTACCTGTGACTTGTCATGATTATAGTCAGGCCAGCATCACGAGCTGCTCGAATAACGCTCCATAATTTTCGCTTTGCACCAGCATCCAAGCCCTACCATCAATCAAATAGAATGTTTATATTAATGAGTCATCAGTAGTACAAGTATATTCGAAGATACTCGACTATTTCCATCGTAGTATTCTCAAAATGACTAATCAATATCATATGAGGATGTGATGTAGAGACTATGTTATCTGTCAGAGTTTGCTCTTATTTTATTCTTACCGTAGTTGGTTCATCTAAAAATACCAATGATGGATTTGCCATGAATGCAACAGCAGCGCTCACTTTTCGTTTGTTGCCACCACTGAAAATGTTCATCAATTTAATTGTTGTGACTGCTTTTTGGATATGCAACACTCACCTGAGATTTTGTACTTCGCGTTCACGATAATGTTCAAGACCAAATAGTTGTATCATATCATCACAAATAGTTGGAATTATTGATGATGATAAACCTTTCAATCTAGAAATGAAAATAAATTTTATAAATCATTCATAACATGATCCTAAAGCTTTATTCATGAGCTCGAAAGCAACAAAAAATACGAATGTCATATATTGGTGAAAAGCAACAACTTTCTAGGTGCAATTTAGGGGTGAGGTCAAATAAAGAAACCTGATGTTTGCTTCAATGTTAAATCTCCAATACAAAATACGATCAAATGGGTCCATACCGCTCATAGAAAAAAACAGTACATATGAGAATATTCACTATTGCACATCTATCCATCTCATATAAAATATGTAAATCTACTATTTCACTTCGCTCCTACAACTCATTGGTATTAAAATTTAAGATATTTTTAATTTTTGGTCTATGCTAAACTTCGGTTATCAGCATCAGTATGTTACTACACAGTGCTGCATATGTTAAATCTCTAATGTAATTTTCATGTCAGCAAGGAAATACGAAGGTAACTCTGAGATACAGGAATCAACAAAACGATCAGTATAGTGAAAAACTAATTGAGAAATAGTTAAAAAAATCAAACGCTTAGTTGTCTTTTGCTAAGATTTTGCGATCGGATTTTATTAATATTAAAAAAAATCGACAGTAAGAGATTTGCAAATCTGAGTACCTACTCTTTATCTGGACACTTATGAACAATAGTATGTCACATAGTGTAGAGAATCATTAAATAAGAATAGTATCGAACTGGAATCAACAAACTAAAATCAACTGTTTCATTTGTTTATGACTTTCTATTATTTGATTCGATATCAGCTCCTGTCATATTATGCTTTGACAATTTTTTTCTATATTCATGTTTTACTTCTCTGTTGAGTTCTTACCGTGCAAATAGAGTCAACGTTTCCACTACATTTAGATCATCAATCAGCCAATCGAATTGAGGGCAAAAGCCCATATCGATATCTCCATGCTAGAAAAAAAAAATAATTCAGATAAAACTAAAATTAGCATGAAATGCAGTTACCGTTTCGTTGATATTTTTACCATTAATAATTATTTCTCCAGCATTTGGTTGAATAGCATTGATTAGCATTCGAAATGTTGTTGTCTTGCCAGCTCCATTGGCACCTAAATAGATAAAAATAAGTATAGAAAGATTTCAAAATATCCTATGCATTTCTTATACCTAGAAGACCAAAGCATGCTTGTTTTGGAACGTAAAAATTCAAATGATCAACTGTCGTGGAGTAAGATCGAAGAATTGATTTTCCTTTTCGTTTTCTAAATCGTTGCACTAGATCTCGAACGAGCACAACACTCGATGTTAATGAATCTCTATTGGCGTGAACCATTCGACGTTCATCTCGAACGTCCTTATCAAGTTTCTAGCAAATGAAAAATAAATAATATATGAAGAGATTAAATTCACGTAAAATAATCATCCGATCATTCATACCGAATCATCCCATTCCAGTGCATCCATTGAATCACTGCTATACGCTTGTTCTTTCTTTCTATTAGTTGCGTTGCGTTTTTTTCGATTAAAACAACAGCAAACATATTCTCTCATGCTCGTTCGATTTTCTATACATGCCAAGAAAATCCACCAAAGTACCATTTGACCAGCAAATATAACTAATTGTAATCCAATGCCGGGTTCATTCAATGAAGCCCAAGGCACGTCAGGAGAATAATTAGTAATCAGTATAGCATTGATTGCTGAAATACAATTTGGATCTGAGCGTAAACGAATATTGTATAAAGCCTGTTTGAAATTTACTGTTGGAAAGATACCAGCAAGAAGCGCACGGAGAATTAGCATGGATCGTGCTGTTGTACCAATTTCAGTAAGACTGGCCGATGGTGATGCTTGTGAAAATAACGCAATAAAACCGAATACCATGTCGATAAAACATACGAGTGCATTAAGCATCAAAAACATTATAAAACCAATCAATTCAGATTGTGGAATAAATGAATATGAGTACATGAATGGTAATGAAGCCAACGAAAACATGACATATAAGAGAAAAAAATAGCCGATTTGTGCAGTACCTTGATAAATCTTGACTTCGACATTTGGATCAGGATTTGCTGCAGATCCTATCTAAAAAGATACGAAGGGGAAAACAAAAATTCTTTATCATGAATCAACAAAATAGAATTGATTCGTTTCAAAGTACGGGATTTCAAATTTCAATTGTAAGCTAACTACTCGAATATTCAAGAAACAATTTCTTTTTCTTGTAGCGTGACCAATAACTGTTCATACACATTATCCGATTATTAATCGTGGGTAGCGAATTTTCAAAAATGATCCAACTGTTGACTCTAACTAGTATCCACCGAATTAAATCTCATCAAATCAATGATAGTTTAGGTAGGTCCATTATTTTTTATTTTATTTTCTTAGCAGCTACATGAACGTCTTGGAAAGATATTTTTCCATGTGATTGATTTGAAAAGTTAAGAAATTATTTTTATGTGTCTGTTAGAACATCATAAATGGACGATGAGAGAAACGTTCTAGGCACTTAAGGATATGCTCCGGATCGAAGGAGAACCAATAGCGGTTCTGAAAGCAATAATTTAGAGAAATGTTTTGCATATTTTTCTGGAAATCTTAGGTTTTTATATTATTTGTCTTACCTTTACAGCAATGGTTAAAAGCGCAGAAAGAATCAAGCATAATGCCAAATCATAGATAAAATTCGAAAGCCAATACAGCTTCTTTGATGTATTTGTTAATAATTGTAAATCTTTCGAGTGACGAATGCGTTCACGAATAATGTTCAATGCCAAAATACTAATAAAGATTGCTGCAATAATACTATTAATAAAGTTCAATAATGATAATGGAATTGTGTCAAAGCAATATATTTGATCGTAAAATATTGCCCGAGGTGTCACCGAGTTCGATACAGTAGAAAATGGTTGATTGATGGTTTCAATATGTCGCAACGATGAGTTTGCATAATACTGAAATAGAGATGTTGTTGCAACGCTCAGACTCGTTGCCATTGCATGGTAGTTTACTGTCGAAAAGAAAACATTAAATGTAAACAATTGTATATTTCTCGAAATTGCAAAACCCATTTGATATTTATTAACGTATACATCGTATGAAACTTGATTTCTTGATAGAACATAATCGGTTATATTACTTGTATTGATAACATCAAGGTTCGCACCCATCTCTGTTAAATAGTTGCTTAAATATCCTTGCATTTTATTTTCGGCATCATTCGAGTTGATAACTATGGTGTGCGGATTGTATATCGAAGGAAGCAGTGTAACTTCAGCATTTTCGACACGTTCATTTTGCAAAAGCGATCCTTGAATAGCTTGCGGCGAAGGTAATGTAGAAATAGACAAAATTTCGATTACCAATGGTCCTAAAAAGAAGCCGATTAGAACAAGTATTTGTCGACGAGAAAGAATCCATCGTTTGATGATGAGAGTGAAAAGTCGAAACCAAACGAGAAAGCAACCAGTGACGCGGCTGGGCTTTCGCTGGAATACTGTGGTAATAAAAAAAAGAATAAGGTGAATCGGATGTGTTTTTTGTTCATTAAGAATATGCATACCAGTATTTGCTAGATCGCTCTTTGGTTTTTCGTGCTCATGTTTAGTTTTATTCGCTTCATTGTATTCTTCTTCTTCATCTTCTTCCACAAGTCTAAATTATCAAAATAAATAAGCCAATGAAAATTCTTTTTTTATATCCGTTTTGAATTCATATATTTCGGATGGAGGTTCTATGCAGTATAATTATTTCGGAGTGCTTGAGGGATTTAGAAAACAATTTAAATGGATATTTCTACATTTAAAACGTGACTTTTTCGAATGACTGTGGTGGATTCAGTGGAAATCATATGCTGCATATCAATTTCAAATTTAAAAAACAAAACATTTTTAAAGAAAAATTGATAATATGATTTTTGTCGCAGTGTTAAACTCATTCATTACTTATATGAAGATAGGTTTATTCTCTTTTTGATCTATTGAAAAATGAAGTGTTCGCTATTCCTAAAACAGTATCCACCGTTAAGTTTCAAGTTTCTGACTGAACAATTGGCTGCAATGTCATTGTGTGAGATGCTTTCAGCCATTTAGCATTTTTCTTTATAAAAATCACTAGCTTGAAAGAATGACTCTTTAGATTTTTTGAAAGGATCGGTCTGGTCTACGTGAAAGAAAGAGGAAATTTTGATAATAATATCACATTTCTTACTTTAAAAATACTTCTTCCACTGTTGTCATCGATAAACCATATCCATCAATATTGATTGTTGGACCTTCTTCATCGAGAGCTTTGATTAAACGACTAATTTGTTGTGACATACCACGTTTAATTCCAAACACTAATTCCGATGATGATTGTCTTTCTAATATTGCAGTTTGCACATGTTTGTGGAACAATTCAGTGACGCGTTCGATATCACACGTTGACTTTTTCTCAATGAAAACGCGATATTCAAATTCTAAGATAAATCAAACTTTTCATGAATGGTATTCCCCTCATACGAAATATTTGCAGAAAACCTGTTTGTTGCTTGAGAAATGCGGGTGTTCCACTTGCTTGCAATCGGCCTTTGGTCATAACGGCAATACGATCCGATAGAACATCGGCTTCTTCGAGGAAATGCGTTGTCATAATTATACACTTTCCAGCTTCTTTCATTTTTCTTATGATTGTCCATATGAGACGACGATTATAGGGATCTAAAATTGTAAAGATTCAAGTTAAACATAGTTCTCCCAGGATAAAAAAAATAGTCTTTCTATGAATAGAATGTCCACGCTTTTATGTCTTTCACGAGGTCTTTCCATTATTTCGTAACTACTGATATTACGATTAGGACTCTTATTATAAATTATTTCATCATGTATCTATAGAAAACTTATTTTTCACTGTCTAGGAGCAAACCATAGAACAAAGTGAAATACAACCTTAAATTTTGTAATATAATGCAATAAAATTGATGATTTATCAAAAAATATGCAATCTTGACTTTTACTCTTAATTCCTTACGGCCAATTTAATTTATTTCAAACTTAGATTTATGATTAATCCTTTCAACGGGTTCTACCCAATTAGCTTATAATCGTTAGATTTTTTGTAAATTTGATATCGAAAATTTTCAAAATAAAGATCCAAAAACTACAGACGATACTTTAAAAATTCTCCTTAAAGTTGACTTATCATACTCACCAATGCCACTAGTTGGTTCATCCAAAATCAATACCTAAAATAGTTCGTTGGGTTAAATTACTTCTCATACTCACGCAAAATATGTATCTACCTTCGAATCACCAACTAATGAAATGCCAATCGATAACCGACGTTTCATACCACCGGACAAATTCTTTGCCCATGTATGTTGGTGATCAACAAGTCCAATAAGATCAAGAATATAATCAATAGATTGGTTCACATCTTTTCGTCTTATTTGACGCATCTACGAAAACATGACTGAATTAAAGCTAGCACGATTTATGATTCGATAATGAGGTACCTCTGAGACTAGTGTTAAATGTTCTCTAACAGTTAATTGATCGTAGAGAATATCTAAAAAGAAAAATTCTTTGTCAAAAGACTGCGTCTGCTAAGGATTATCAGTTTTACCATATTGTGGACAGAAACCAATCATTTTTCGAACTTCTTGAATATTGATTTGGCCATCCAACCCTTCGACAGTAATAGAACCCGACGTCGGCTGAAGCATACCTAGATTCAAATTAAAAATAGCACTGAGGAAATGATAACATAATGTATAATTCTAGATCAACAGTTTCTTGATAGAGAACATTGTTTTGGTAATATACTTTCAACGTAATTCATAATCATATCTTGTTATAGATACGATAAAGCTCCTCGTAACAAATCAGCTCCGTCCTATTTTCAGTCTACTTTAGGAAATGGTTGAACTTTTGTTTTACTTAAATACGTACCAACGAGAATGAAAGTAGTGGTTGTTTTGCCTGCACCATTGTGTCCAAGTAATGAAAACACTTCTCCATTATAAAAATCGAGTGATAGATTCTTAACAGCGTCTAATTTACCGAATTTCTAAATATCAATGAATTGAAATCTAATCAACTAGTGAACTTATCACATATCTTACCTTTGTCATATTATGAATACTTAAAATAGGTAACTTTGCACGGGCAAGAGCATTGGATTCAATCCAATGATTTTTTTCAATAATCGGCTCATTTTTTCTTTGAGTCTTGCTAATATTTATGTGTTGAATACAAGATGATGATCGTGATTTCCAATAGCCTATTTTACATAGATAATTCCATGGTTGAGATATGCCGAATGAACCTGGATTGATACGTTCAATATAAATAGCCAGAAGCATGTAGATAATAGAATAGACAAGCATCAAAAGCAGACAAATGCCAATATAAAGTGGATATGTAAACAGATTCGAATAGAGTTCAGAGTATGTTATTGTTGCCACTGAAGAAAAAGAGACCAATACGATCGTTATTTATACATTGATATAAGAATTTTGTCTATTTCGATAGGAAAATATGAAATAACGTTATACAATATTCTCACTGCAGTTTTAATCGTAAACTTATTTTGGCTATGCAACTAATTATCGATTTTTTGTTTTACTTATCTGTCTAATGCAACACCAAGAAGCATCGACCGATAAAAATATTCTAATGCGAACTCAAAAAGAATGAAAACTCTAATTTATTAAAATTAAGAACATGTCGCGTTAATGAAGTTTGGCCATTGCTAATCCAAAATATTTTTCATTAGTACAGTTTATCTACTTCCAAGAATTCCTCGTGGTTTTAACGTAGATTGTTATTTTGCATTACAGTGACATTTTTGTTATCGGATATCTCACAACATAAATTTCCGAATCAAGAAAATATCTACGCTTGGATTCTAATCATATCCTAGTGAACATAAATCAAAATTAATTAGATCGCTGATCGTATAGCAAACTGCTATCAACATTCAAGTAAACGTGTACTACTTGTATGAAGTGAAAATAGTTTCTTTATGGATAAAATTAATAAAATTTGTTTCCGCATAGTTTCGATCATTAAATAGGCGCACGAATAAGTTTTTACTTACCACATTTACGTTCATATTGTAGAAGAACTTGAACACATATCATTATTCCAATGTTTGGAAAAAAACACAACACATAAAGAACACCAACCGGTAGACTCGTATAGAAATCGACAAATGTAAAAAACCATAAGATAAATCCGACAATTTTCGCCAATAGAGCTAAATCAAACAAAATAATTAATTATACAATAGAATATTGGCATCAAATGAGACTGAGAAATGATCAATTCAATCACATTAAACTCATGATTAAAAATCGGAGATCTTAGTTTCTAATTAGTATGCATGATAGTTGGTATCGAGATCAAACTGAATACTTACAACGCTTGAAGAATTGGCTAAAGAAAACCGTAAATGCTGACACTTGGATTGAATAGACAAATAGAATGGTCCAAGTCAGTGTCCAATGTGTTTTATTAAACAACGCTTTGGAGATGCTTTCTGACTGTAGCTTTGAACTCGGGAAAACCAATACGCTGAAACCAGTCACAACACCAGTCATTACAAAATAAATGCACATTGATCGACTGAACCAAACTAAATTGTTCACCCAAGTACGAAGACCATAGATACACAAATATTCCTGAGAGCATATGCAACAAAATGGATTGTATTCTAGATTTTTTTATTCAAAACTTACTTTTGTCTTATTTGCTCGCTCTTCTACAATATAACCAACGGTTATAATGAATGTTATGGAGTATATAATTGAGAAGAAGACTGCAGCAAAAAAGCTATAAATTGTATAGAGTTGATCGATATCAACAGCGCGACAGCCGAAATGATTGAAAATGATCTAATATGATGTGCGCTTTGCTTTTTATATAAACCACAAGTAATTCGTTGAACTTACAGTCGGTATTTTTAAATCTAGAGTAAAGTTCGTTGCATATGCAATGATTGACGTATCAATCCCAAACTGAAGGCCAAGGAATTGATAGACGTAGTTCACTAGCACGTTAGTATCTAAACATATAAAACAAATATGAATACTGATTTCTACAAAAGAAAAGTTTAAAAAGTGATAGCCTAATTAAGTATTAAGAAACACGTGCTTTACTTTGTTTGGTATCGCAGACAAAGCTACTAGTACATATATTATATCGAAATTGCTGGCAGGACTTGATATTTTTAATTGATATATTATTGAATACTCTTTTTTTTTCTAATCATAACGCTATTTATTTTAAGCCGAAGACCGATCAGCTGCTTTAGTCACAAGCAAACCCTAGAAAATGTTATTAGAGCAAAAGGTAGTTTTTTGCTACATTCACCATAGTCAGTGATAATGAATTCGAAAAGAACATGACTCTGACTCTTGTAAATTGCTCGCAAGACTGATATTAGGTTGAATATGTCAATTTTCTGATTAAATACTCTACGATTCACAAATAAACGTCTTTCAAAAACAAATATATAAGTTGAATGTACTTTGACAGAAATCTTCTGGGGCGCGCTTCGTACGAATTACACTGTCGAGAAGCTTGATATGATTAACACGATAATAATAAAGATCATTCCTACAATTAGTTATGGTAAACAATGAAATAACATAGAAATCATATGCAATAACGTACTCCTGCATGCGTAAAGTATATTGAACTTGATCTGGCATTGTCGATTGATTTACGCACGAATCCATGTTTGTAAAAATAATGTAAGCATGAACTGCTAGTAGATCCGTATTTGATAACGACGAAAAACTTTCTGGCGATCTAGGCATCACTGAATAAACAGAAATAAAGCATACAATGAATTTGCACTAGAAGTTCGAATAGGACATTGTTGATATGCGAACAGTATCCATTATTAAATAATTTTCATTGCACTCTATTAGAATTTAACCACTGATAATCACTGAATACACTCTACTAGTTTTACCATCGCAATGAGTCGTTGAGTTTGATCTATTTACTCTCTTACAGAATATGATCATCAATCAATGAAAAATACGTAGATCGCTATTTTTTTCATAGCGAAATTCTAATAGTTTCCATATGCACCAGTACAAGAGATAAGCGTGAAGTTTAAAAATTCTCATTTTCATTCATTTTTTTAAAATGAACTTTTCTAGTGAAAAGTATTTTGGCATATGTAGACATACGTATATTGATCAATCCAAGTCATCTTACACAAACATGGAAGAGATTAAAAGTCAAGTTAACTGTACATACTTGTAAGAGGAAAGTATCTATTAACGGCATGTAGTCCAGTTACTGCATTGTTCACGATTGTTGATGTACAAGGATTTGCTGCAAACGTAAGCGTTATTCGAAAAGAGTGAAGCGTAATCGAAAACATTTTAAATGAAGTATGTGAAAACTTACAGGGATGGTAATAGACCACATTATGCATTGAATTATTAAGTATCATTGCAAGTTGTGGACTAAAACGGTCTATTTGAAAGCTTGGCATGTGGCGACGATCAAGAATACATCGCATGCCAAGAAGCAGGCCTATAAATGAGTAAGCAATAAGTATTTCAGCGATTGTTTGCCCTCGTTTTCGCAGAGTTGTAAAGAGCATCTTGATGAACAATGCTCGAAAGTGTAGCAGAAAATTGATAAATGCACCATTTTGTGAGTGATCAACATAGAGATTTACCATATTCGCTTTTTCTGTTTTATTGCATCTATACATAGAAAACAGTAGTCAGCATTTCTATAAAAATAAGTGAACAACTATCAGGATAATTCATTGTTTTAGAACGATTAAATGTTGTGAGAAAGCAACGATAGTGACATTTTCAGTAGCTCGGTATAAAAAGTCTGCAGCCGAAGATTTATTATTCGTAAAAAATAGAAAAACAAAATATGAATCCAATAAAACGCCCTCCTTTCTTACTCTAACGAAAATTACATTAACGGCTTCTACTGACTGTAACATATAAAAATGAAATATAAAAGCATTTGAAATCATGATTGCTACACTAGTTAACGAATATTAATATTTCTAGTGTAAAAAGAAGTGACGATCGGAGAGTCCCACTTCAAAAGTTGTACTCTCATATTTCTCAAAAAAATAAAAGTGATCTTGTTAGTGTTGGGCAATAATTGTTAAGACGTTTGATGTATCCGTGGAACTCAAATTTGCCAGTTAAAGTTTTCTTTGTAACACAATTATATAATCTACCAAGCAATAATCATCTGTTCTTGTCCACTGCAGAAGAAGCTCATTATGTCAGTAAACTTATTTTTCTTCGTGACATTAAATTTTTGTCAGGAGCGTGCATTGATTTCTCTCCTGTTTTTCGGTGACGAAAAAAGCGTGTGCTCTTGCTGGTCTTCTCTTTCATTACGACTTTGATTCTTCACTACAGAAGTTTATTTGCAAGTAGAAACAGGAATAGCAAATAGTGATTATTAAGCGCGCATACAACCATCGAGTCAGCCGAAAAAAACATTTCGAATTTTTTTTTCTGATGTGCTGATTCCTATTTTAAGATATGCATACGCAATTTCCTCTAGAAAGAAAAACAACTATCAAATCATAGTTTCTATATTCATAATAAGTTCAATAGTTAGTAGTCATATATTCTGTATGTTTAATTTTCAAACGATACCATTTTGCTACATCATACTCCGGTTCTTAAGGGTATGCACAATTAATTATGAATAAATGGGTCAGTTTTTAGCAAGTTTAACTGCTTTTCTCTATATGAAATGAACTATATTTGAGTCTTGATGATTGTCTTTAATTATCAGAACAATAACGAAAAACCACATTTCGTGTCTGATCGTATGATTAATGGTGGTTCTGCATACAAAAATGTAAAGAAAAATTTATTATGCGATGTTCCGAAGATAAAATATTCTAGCTGAAGAAATGGCGAATAGATTAGTGCATTATATTTGTTAATTCTTGATTTATTCATCAATTTCATAGTTATTCAAAGAATGAAAATTAGTATAGTGACCAATGCAAAATCGTTAAATCAACAAATCTTACAAATATCTCTGATTTCATAAGAAGTTAGGAAGCTAAACTCAAGCTCTATCGCATTATAATAAAAGATTAGTTGTAATACTATGTAAATATCTGTATGCTAACTGACTTGAAATGGTTGCCTTCCAGTATGTCTTAAGTCAGTGATGACGCAATCGACATTTGAACCATCCAACGATTCAAGCTTAGAATTTTATTCGATTACTATTGAACTCATAAGCCTTAAGAGTATTAAAATATAATTTCTATGCTCTACCTTAATAGCACTATACGCAGTTTGTATGCGATGATTCATTTTCGTCACAAAATATTTTCATCAGGAGCTCGAAAATATATCTCGTCACTAGGCAGGTTTCTTTGCTGTAGCCGATAATGCTGATTCATTGTACCAGTGATGCCGATACTCACAGGATTTTGCTGATCATCATAGCAAGTTAGTTATTGACATGTATGTCATACCCTGGCCTAATGAGAGTGACAAAACACGAATATTATGCACTGCAGTGAACTTATGAAAGAGCAAAAACATGATAGAAAATATGTAGATGATTCATCAATTGTCAAATAAAAAATGTACCATTGTAAACAATTAACTGAATGTTTTAGGATTCTAACATTTCAAAATGTGTTGTCTAAGTCGAACTTCTATTAAGCAACCCAAGATTCTAATAGCGAAAAATAATTTACTCTGTAATACAGCTAACAACTGTATGTCACAAATGTTTCTTTTTGAATTGGTACCCTTTGGCTTCTTTTTTGTTCTCAAGCATTATCCTGAAAGGAAACAAATAAGAAATTAGGTCACATGCATTGTGTTTAAAATATTACAGGCTTGGTTCACTACAAGCAATGCCATGCTTCAATTGGTTTTACCGTTTTTCCGACGAAATGGCTTATTGTCATAAAACAAAACTGAGTTCTAGAAATTGTGTTATGCCAGTAGAGACATCTCCTGATATCAGAAGGCCCTCTCTATCCCTTTATCATACTCATGAGATGGAACCGACTGGTAGAAGAGAGAGATAGAGAAAGAGTAGGCTTTATTCTCTTGGTTCTGTTCTGTTCTTTGTGTTCAAGAGTGCAGTTGCTTACTTGTGTGAAGAAAGAAGGAATAAAAGGAACAGCGGAGAAAAGGATCTAACAAATTGAACAATGAGATTTAGTGAAAAATACAAGATCATTGGAGCTTCTATCAATGAGTGATTTAAACTATTTCTCTTTATGAATGAATATTCCATAAAAACCTGTTATAGATCGTCAGCGAATTATGGTACGAAATAAGTAGTACAGCAGCAAATGAAAAACTTTGATTTTGCCTACGCTTCATGACTAATTTTATTTTTTCTTTGACAAGCTTCTGTTGACACAATTAAAATAGTGCAAATTTGCATGTCCATTCTAGTTGAAGTGCAAAAGGTGTTTGCTTTTTTTACTGTGCTGAATTATTCTACGGCGTTTTAACTTATCAAGCATGCATCCAATCGTCTGATGATGTATAAAAATAATTTGAAATCATAACGATTGCACCTCAGTGACTTTAGTTGTCTCGCTCTTGTTGTTGCATTTTTATTCGAAAGCGATCACCAGTGAAAACATTCAACAGCAAAAAATGCGAATTAATCGATTCTGTTGATGAATAATACTGCAGCACAAACATAAGGCTATCATGAATTGGTTTCTTATGAGGAGATATAATTCATGTCGAATATCCTGGTACATTGGCGGCAGAGCCACTGAGACCCATGAGGCTTGAGTCTCACCTAGATTTCACCAGATGAGGCTCAGCCTCACTTAAGAAGACTTATTTTCTGCTTGATGCGTTCATAAAATTTCACGGTAGAAAAAAAATATTATGAGCCTCACCTAGTCTAATGACGCTCCGCCGCCCCTATCCTGGTAGCAAACAACGTTTTAATTCAGAACCAGAGAGGAAAAACTTCTCGTTTGTCTTCCGGTACGTAGAGTTCTCATGGCAATACTACGAAACTTGAACTTCAAATAATTCTCTTCATCCATGAACGATAGGAATAGAAACCGATATGTCTTTAAAACTTCAACAAAGTCTGTATCCTATTGATTGTTGTGGTTAACTTGGTAAAACTTGAATGAACATTTTCTTCCATAAGAAAAGAAGATTTTGTAGAAAATAAATCAATCATATTATATAATACATTAGTAAATTGTTTGATTATTTGATTACGTGAAAATAAAATAAAAATACATTGAAAAAAATGTCATTCAAAGATTTATGTTAAAAATTGTTTCGAGTGCTAAATGATCTGATGGATATTCACTCGATGGAAGGCCATTGAGACCAATGTCTTCTTTGCTTGGTAATTTTAAAATAGCAGCAGGAACGAGACCTGCTGGTTTATAGAAAATATAATCAATCGTTCTGCATTGTTCTTGTTCGACTCCATTATTTGCTCGAAATTTCCATGTTGTAAACAATGGTTCTTTATCATCTGATAGGGTTCGATAGGCGCTCGAAAAACCAGCATTACGTATGACTTCATAAAACGGCTCATGAGGTTCACCATTAAAATCACCAGCAATAATGATATGTGCTCTTTTTGAGTGATTTTCTTTTAAAAATTCAACGATTCCTTCTGCTTGTTTTGCTCGTATATTTGCAAATGGTATCTTAGCCTTCAAATGTGTACCAATAAAAATGATATTAGCTGACGATGATTTGTGATGCAGATCAAGCATTGAGAAAAACTATTTAACATATAATTAATGAAATTCTTATGAATTATCTTACTACGGGTTTTTTATGGGAATCATTTTCTTTTGCTTGATAATGATACCGTTGAATTTCATCGAATATTTCTGTTTTAAAACATAGGAGAATACCATCTGGTCCTTTGAAATTATCAGAATCATCTCCAAACAAATAGCATGGAGAGCTCGGCTTAGGTGTGAAAAAACAAGTATATCTAAGAAAATTGATATGAAGAATTTGTAACAGAAAAATACATTCGATGATCTCATACCCATATTTTGGCAAGTGATATTGAAGAAAACAAGTATATGTGTCGATTTCTTCGAGTGCACATAGATCAGGTTGACGAATAACAATTTGCTCAAGTATACGCCATTTACGATTATCGAATGCTACTGTTTGGTTCGTAACACGTACAAAATTATCTTTAGGATTTGATAAACCTGAGAAGAAAATAAATTTCGATAGAAAATTTATATTAGTATATACCTTGAGCAAGGGTATTCCATTGTAGAACGTGTAGTGTTGGATGGCCTGTTACGGAATTACCATGAAATTCTCGCGTTAGGCTGGCTGGTGATAGGTGATTCGTTATTCTTTAGATAAAAAAAAATACACTCGAAAAGATGAATAGTTTTATTTGTATTGCTCACTCGTCTAGAGCTATGTTACTTGCCATTCTTTTAATGTTATTAATAATTGCAAAGTACAAGCCACTTTCTAGAAGCAAAACAGGAACTATAGGTTGAGACGATCTAATAAAATGTGTTACGATCATTTATCCATATTGACCATCGTGCAAGTAATTATTACATTAAAGAAAATATTTTTGCTAACTAGCACTCGATAACTATGATTCATCGCATGCAATGCACAACGAATCCATTGCTGCAGTTTTTCGTGTCATTCTATAAATCGACTGATGGAATGGATGCTTCTTCTAAAAAGGGAATATAGCTGACGATATCATCGAATCTTCTTTCAGACTTGTCATTTTTATTTTCTCTATTTTATTGGCATCAATAACTAGCGCCATCTCTATGACGAAATGATTTATACTTCCTGAATCTACAGCGTATCATTCTTTATGGTTGAATTGCTTTACGATATTCTGAATGAATAAATATAATTACGACCAAGCGATTCTTGTACATACATTAATTTTACTCAGAATAATAGTTATATAGAGGTCTTGAAAAATTTTTTTTTAACAAATATTACTTAACGGAAAAAGAGAAGGCTTCCCAGATTAATTTAGCAATACTTGTCATCACTCATTCTATTTTCGTTATTAAACTAAGAAATAATCTGTTCTCGGTTTCATACTTGTCGAAGTATAAAGCATGAATAAAATATGTGTTGGCAAAGGAAACTAAACTTCACTAAGATTACAACATCAAAAGTGCACTTTTTCCATTCTAAAGAGAGAGAAAAAAATACCCAACACATTATGTACGCAGTCAGTACTACAATTGCGGACTGCAACCTGAATCGAGCACAAACATGTAAAAGAATATTTGCCGATGTATTGTAAAATAATAGATTTAGGATAAAAGATTGAACGGTATCAGTTAAAAGAAAGTAGTCGAGTCATACATAAAAGGGCAAGGTTTTCTGTGGTTTATTTGCTATGCACTTGAAACGTTTATCTGATCGGATTCATTTTTTTATATTTACACTATTTACCTCTACAGAAAGTTTATCAACGATTGAAACAAAGTGACATTTTTTTATTTACACGATTTACCTCTATAGAAAGTTTATGAACGATTGAAAAAGTGACATTTTTTTTTAAATTTTCTGTCAATTTCATTGGTTGTTTTCAAGTGTTAAACATGATTGCATTTACCATATAGTATGCATTCTTATAAAAATAACGCGTGAAACGAATACATGTTGATGTTGACTGTCAAAAAAATAACTAACGAGTTTTAATGAATGTTCAAACTCTCATAATTCTATTCACTGGAGTATTATTCAAATCATTAGTAATTAGAAAACTTGGGGCACATCACTTATGAGAAAATTAGTTTTCTTTTCGAAACTAAAAAAAAATATGTTTTCTGTAATTTTGCTCGTGAAACACTAGCGCTTTGCTCACTAATAAATTAATGTTCGATAGTTCACATTTTTAACGACAGATGACACAATAGGATTGAACTGATTGCTTATAGTTGAATATTTCAAGAGTTATTCAGCGGCGACGTATGACATGTAATATAGAAAGGAAGATAATGTTATCAAGGATATTCTCTTGGTGTAGTATTCAACAAGAAAGGCTTAAGCTGTAGCGCTCTAAAAGATCTTGAAAGTCTGTTGAAATATTTGTAGATCTCCTGAAATCCTATAAAAGGTTAAGATTTGTTGGTTAAGTATTTCAGATAGTTTTTATTTTAAAGATATAGTTGACTTTCTTTTATGCGTCACGTTCAAAGAATAAAATATGTTTTATCGATGTATGCCTGCAATTTCGTTTATTATTCTTACTCAACGAAAGTTCAACGGGGAAAAAAATGCAATCTGTATTCTATATTATATTTTTGCCTAACTATTACATGATACTCATTCGATATGAAGAGATTATGGTTTCGGCTTCGATGAGTGTTTTTGAATGAATCCTTCCGGGACATTTTATTTATCACGTAATATCAAATGAAGTGTTCTTAGCATATAAAGTAGAATTTTGAAAACCATCAGCATTCATATGCTTCCATTTCGAGACCTTCACCTAGGAGATAAAGGATGAACAATAATGAATCTCACATTTTCATCCGATAGGGATTATGTGGACGAGTTTTTTATTATTATTCATGGATTCAATTTGATGAGTGAAAAAGTACGTAGTAACAATAAAATATTTGGTCTCATTTATCGTGGCCAGACTCGCATCGATAAGCCATATCTAGGTCTAAAATACACAATCAGCGAATACATTTATTCTTAAAACATTGGCTGGCGCATAGAAATATCCACAGACCTGATTGTTCCTGCTGTTCCCAGCACAAGCTTTTGACCGGGTACCAATTCAAAACGAAAACGATGTAAAAGTATCGCCATCATAATTTTAGATTCTAGCATAGCAAAATTCTGTCCAATACATATACGTGGTCCAAGGCCAAATGAAAATAGTACGTCTGGGTAACGTTCAAGAAATCTTGACGGATTGAATCTATTGGGTTCATGCCAATACTTTTCAGAGCTATGAGCATAAAAATTATCATCATGCATAATTAGAAATAGATTTATGACAAGGAAGAAAGCTTGAGTGAGAAATTATTCTTTTTTTTTCTATTCAAATTACCTATTTATAATGTTCAGATTCATGATAATATCTATTCCTTTTCGGATACGAATTCGTTTACCATCGCTAGCCACAATAGTATTGTCAGCAATTGCAGTTCTCATCAATACAGGCGCAGGCTGATGATATCGTAACGTTTCTTTCAAAACAGCTTCGGTATATGTCAATAGGGATAAAGTCGTTGCCGTCAATTCTGTATTCTCACTCATAACTGAATCGATTTCATTCTGGCATTGTTGATAAACATCAGGATTTGTGACAAGATCATGGAGAGTCCAAGTCATTAAAGTTGCCGTTGTCTCATGTCCCGCAAGTACTAGAGACAGATATAATACGAATACTATACTTGTATTAGAAATGATAGTTATCGTTTATTCATAATAAACATTCATCATTCAGAAAAAAAAGCCTGAGAATTCTTAAAAATTTGGATGCGATCATGTTGACGCCTATCGATACCTATGTCCGAATTTGTATTTCTTTAAATGTTGACATTTACGTTTATTGTTGAGAGTGAATACGAACGAAAAGAAAAATCAACTCATCTCACCGTTTATACCATGTAGCATTTGCATGGATTCAATCAACCCAGTTGTAAATATATTCAAAGACGATGAACTGTATATAGGATTGATCATAAGCAAATACAGTATATTACAATTGAAAGCATCTTCCCATTCTCTCATCAATATATTTTTTGATATTGGATGATTATATTAGCCTCTTCTAACTTATTGCAGTATATGACAACATTGAATCGACTAGACAATAGCGTATTCTGAGAAAATCAGATAACATTACATAATTAATATCACTTGAAGTTCTTGGTCATGTCACAATATTTGATATAAATCGAAAAGATAACTACAACGATTATTTCAATCAGTGCATAATTCGAAAAAAAATGACGGTTCAAATATCAAAATGAATACGGATTTGTTTAGATTTAAAAAAATTATCATGAACATAGCGTGAATAGTAAGAGAAAGCGTTTCCAGACAGTTAAATAAAAGTCGAATTCTCTACATTGGCTATATATTGTAATGATATTAGCATAAATATAGATAAGTCTCAACTATGAAACTACGGTTAGAATAAAGTCTACGTTTGAGAATCTAACGAACAAGTTGTTGAATACGAAGGGGAAAATGATTGCATACAAAACATCGCTGCTTACCAAAAGTAATCGCTTCAGCTGAAACTTCTTCATCGGTAAATTTTTGTTCTTTATCTTCACCATGTGCTGCCAACAGCAAATCCAGTAAATCGGGTCCTAATTAACGTCAATAAAATTCAGTCAAGATTTTCAAAGATTTGAACAAGAACATACCTTTACAATTGGCTCTTGTTAAACCTTGTTTTCGCTGATCTATCATTTGTAGAACAATGGTCTTTATATCCTTTTTACACTTCGCAATACGTCTTTTGCCTAATAATGGCAATTGATTAAGTATTGGAATAATAATAATCATATTATAGATTCGTTTCTCTATTTCCTCTATGGTTATTTTAACGCTTTGATAGATTTTGTCATGAATATATCTATTTTTCATTGTTTCAATACCGAATACACAACCGGTAATAATATCCAATGTTAGATTGGACATCTCTTTCGATAAATCCAATATAAGTGGATAGGTTTTGTCGTTTGTTTCGTTTTCCCACTTTTTCAAAAATGTCGCTATTATATCAACCATAGATGATATCATTGAGATGGTATTCTGATGTTGAAAAATAGGATTAACCAATCGTCGATGTCTTGTATGATTTTCATCTTCAGCCAATACAATATTTTCATAACCAAGTACTGTTGAAGCAATGGCTCTTGCAAGCTCGGATTTATGATAGAATTGACTATTTGTCTTTAAAACACTTTCTATAAGTGCTGGATCGCTTATATTCAAGCAAGGAAGTGGACCAAACGATGTATGATAGTAGTCACCAAATTCAGCACTTGCTTCTTCAACATAACTGAATGGCTTATCGGCTAGATAGGCTCGACGTTGACGTAATATATCACCAACTATTGGTGTATATCGTCCAGGAATACCTTGATTCCAGAAATCTCGTTGAACTTGCCACGGTTTAATGATCCAGTAGTTGATGAAACGATAAAAAACGTATAGCAATGATGTATAAAGAATGATTGTCCACCACATTATCGTTAACCAAACAAAAATTAAAATAGTAAGAAAAAAGCAAACACGCCTTTATATTGCGTCAACAGTAGTATGTGACTCAATGTATGAGATTAGAGTTCATGTCAATATTTACGATAAATATTTTCCAGCTTCGTCCTATAATCAAGGGAATACAGCGAATTTGAATTCTTAAAGTGCGTTAAAGTACATACTCTCAGTAGCTCTAAGTAACTTTAAATTCAAAAGTTTATTGTCTCGTTGGTCTACGTCGCGTTCTGCTCGAATATATTGTATGATAGGGATAAACTTAAGACATCTTTTTCCTGAAAAATTTCAGTTTCTTGGGGAAAAGATACAAATTGAACTTTAATTATAGGAGAAAACAAACTAAATCTACTCTCTCTGAATACCTATGGCTCTTTGAGAAACGCTAGATTGTAGCAGACAATCGATACGAACTTTGAATGTAGTTCGTTTTGTTTCAAATTTTCTTACTTGTTTTTGTACTTCAATACTGAAAAGAGGGCCTGTTTATTACTGAAGCAAAGTTTGATAAGAATTTCAATATACTTGAAGCACGATAGAAGATGCTGATAAAGCACTCTTATGTCTACGCACTTTTGAAATGAACTCAAAGATCGCGCAAATATTACAGTAAATAAGTTCTTTTTTTCAAAATTTAAATAAAAGTTTGTTCTGCAATTGGTTTACTGTTTTCTCAAAACATAATTCTGAATCAAAAATGTTCAACTGCGTCTAACTGTCTCTTAAAGTGACTGATCTATGTTGGTTTATTTAGGGTTAGAATTGAGAATAGAATTTTGTATGACTAGATCTCTCTACATAGTTGGTTAACATAGGTAATCACGGGAAATATAGTGTGGTGAAGCACCATTTTACTTTTTTAAAAGCATCAAACGTACTACAATGATTGACATCGTGCTCGTAACAAGCTTTACACAGATATTGTCTCTGATAAAAACATGCTGCAAATTCTGTTTCTTTTTCAGGAATGAACTTATATGAGTTCTTGTAAAAATTAGTTTCTCCGACAAAGGGTTTAAAAGCCTCTTTTTCATAAGTATCATTTACAGTCAATTGTGTGTCATATCCGAGATATAGAATCATTGAGTTGAATAATTACACGCTTTTAAGTTAAGATGCTGAACATTATTTTCTCTATATTTACACGTGACACGATGCATGATCGATACTCTATTCGTGTTCTTACTGAATGGATGATTAGCCGGTGCGATTCGAGCAGAGACAATACGATTTTGAGAACATTAATGCAGCGAAAGAAAATAATGAGCTACCCACATATACATTTATGGATAATCCGGAAGAATCGTCGGGACTCAATAATGTTAATCACAGAGACTACCAAGAGATGAACATCAATCGATCAAGCGCATTCAAAATAAAAATTCAACCACTTTGTCAAACTGTATTGCTGTGCCAACATTTTTTACAAACTCCAGATTATATTTGCACAAATTGTGTTATTTCTTAAAATTATTATTGTTACTTACATTACTCTAATGAGTTGATCATCACGATGAAAAAGACAAAATGTAATGCATGCAATAATTTTTGCTTCGAAGTATCACACAATAAGTTTGGTTTCGTGTGCAAATTGTCAGAGCGACGTACGACCAGTGAATTTTGTACATAAAATAATATAACAGTATGCATACGAATGAACGAAGTTTACTATCCTATCGTTGTTCTTCCCTTCTGTACCAGGAGTTGTCATGATGGTTCCAGAAACTGAAAAATAGTATAAGTTTCGTCAAATTGTTTATTTAGTACATGATTTGATAATCCTCGCAAGTTTCATTGAACCGAAACACTTTGGAAAGTACAACATATCTCAGGCGTGATTTCTTGCATTTGCTAGTGGAGTCTACCATGGCTGCTTTCAGTGAAAATTAAAGATTTCCAATCTGCTGAAACAAAATATTCGAAGAATCGTCTCAGAAAAAGAAGAAAGATTCAAAGGTATAGTCGAAAAATTCTTGAAAACTACGAAATAACTACTAAAATTCGATTAACTATTGCCCCTGGCCTTATCTGTTAGATTTAAACTTTATCCAACGAATAAAATCACTCAAGCATGATATCAGGTATTCATGCCAGCCCCAATAAAAAAGGCGACGCTACGAGCAGCATGAATTCGATTCAGCTAATGTCTCGGTCTTAGAAACAGCGCATGTAATAGTATTCTGAAGAAATTCAGTCAATTTCACAAACTCCTTTGCTAAGAAGATTAGAAATAAGTAGCAGAGAGAATTCAGACGTGAAAAATTTTTCTCTCTACTAGAAGATAAGATTGGTGATAAAATTAGTTTCTTTTTAGATTCTATTAATGATATTTTTATTATTCAATTCGATCGATTAAACTACTGAAGAAAAACACAAAAAATGTCTTTAAAAATATACCAGAAGAATATGATTATAATAAAGTTCGAGTCGTTTTCGTTCTATGAGAAGAAAAGATTATTCTCTATAAGTTATTCTTAAATATGGCAATGCTTGTGCATATCGACGTACAATATATTCAATATCATTTGGTTTATCAGAACTTTTCCCATGCGTTGAGTGATAGCCTTGTCCTGCCGATATCATATCTTTATCTTTCTCGTCAATGATAAATTCTTTTCCCAATACTACTTTATTATAATACATGATCCGCGTGCGGTCGGTCGAGTTGGCTTCAGTATATCTATGCGAAACATTTGGATTATCAGAAAAATAAGCACCGCGACCTACACGAAAAAAAGGAAAGCATTGCAGTAATATTGTTTTTTTTCTGATATAGTTTACCCCATTTTCTTTCTTTACAGTATTGATCATCGAATCCATCCTTGTAAATTCCATCAATGCCGTCATCCTTTGTTCCATGGAATAATTCACGTTCGTTCGGATTTTCCCCTTTACATTGTTTAGCGATCAACTGTTTTGTTGCTAGATAAGCATCTTCCAATGAAGGATTTTTTATTTGTACGATAGATAACACTTCAACTTGATTACTAATCGAAGATTTCATTTTTGTAAGTACAGTTATATATGCTGTTGTTGACTCATGCAAAGGAACAAGAACAGCTGGATATTTCGGTGGTGGATTTGGAATAACATGCATAGGTTGTCCAAGTTGCGTCCAACCTCGACTTTTCATTTTATCAATACGAGGTTGAAGAAAATCATCAATTGGTCGTAGCACTTGAAAGCGTTTATTTTTTATGTTATCAACAATAGCTTCTAATTCAATGGAATACGATTTACTTGTAATATCAACTCTCATTCCTAATTCTTTCGTATAATCTTTTTCTAATGACAAATTACTAACATCCAAATCAATACGATCTTGCGTTACTACAATATGTGGTTCGATTAAATCCATTGTGAATGGGCCCGTTTTAGCAGTTTTGTCTATTATTAGCACGTAACGCCACGCTTCTCGAACAACTTCATATTCAATTTGATATTTGTGCAGACTATCCAAAAATTTCTCAATATCAAAATATTTATCCGACGGTAAATGACAATCGAGATCTGATGGAACTAAATCTTTATTTAGTGCAGGGATTTTTGGATTAGGTCCAGGTTCTAACCAAGCTGACGGATCTTTATTTGGACGAGCTATGTAATTTCCAACGATCCAATCACGAACAAAACCACCTTCAACTCGACAATCAAATTGACAAACAGCTATCCATGCAACAACCTCCATTCGTGTTTCACGCGTTGCCTTTGAACCATTCAAACTTTTCCATAATTCATTCGATGTTCGTTTAACATCGGTAACATGAGAGATTCTCTCTTCAATATCGAGACATGTCTTTCGCATGGCTGGTTTAAGAATTCGTGGTGAAACGCCTAGAATAAGAAACATACGCATTACCGGCTCGTCTGACATTAATATTTACCTGCATTAGGGCTTCGAATAACAGCACACCTTGTTAACCATCCTATAAATGATCCAAGTTCTTTTTGCACCAATTTATTTTGTGAATCTCGTCCCGCAATTGTTATTTCGCATTGATCATTTATTTCATTATTACTAACAGAGATTTCAACTTGTTGTTCAGCTTCCCAACGCCATTTCATTGGATTAAATATAAAGGGCATTTTTGAAACGCCCTCGAGATTCCTTTTCATACGCTCATGATCATCTTTTTTATTTGGTTCATATGCATTTTTCAGTGTAAATTTCATTTCAACAACTAATTGTTGTAAAATATCAAGTTCAGCATCGAGAACAGAACCTGCTGAACCTTCTAAACTAAGACTATGCTTATTCAATTGTATTTTTATATTTGGAAATATTTGTTTTGCTGCTGATAGAATATTATCAGAATTGAATTTTTTTTCTTCAGCTTCATTTAATTTTATTGTTCTTTGAAACGTATAATCGATCCATTGCGATTTAATTTCGCCTACAAATAACAGAACCGCTTCAGCTCGTTTTGAAGATGAGAAACGTACATCACGAGCAAGAACAAGTGACACAGGCGACGAAGTTATTGGTCGACTGAGAGTTGATTGAAGATCTAATACAGCCACATCTTGTTTTGGCGGAGAATATCGTGTAAATAAATGAGTTTTTCCTTGCAATTCTCTCATTGAAACAAAAACATTTTCTCGATATCCATTTAACAAAGATTTTGCAATGGATACCCAATCATTACTCGAAATCTGTGCTTTTTCACGATATTCACTTGACAGATTAAATAATTTTTCTAAATTTGTATATCTTCTTAATGCTTGTTTTAAAATATGTGCGATTGCCATTAAATTCTTAGCTTGACATATTTTAGATAATTTAAATTGTTGAGCAGGTACACTTTTTTTTATTAGCAGAATTTCATTCATAACATTCAATACGGTCATGAAATCTCCTTCGGATTTTTTCAACGAAGTAGGTATTGTTTTTAACATCGACGGAGAATTCAAAACATCCAAAATCGAAGAAAGTACAATAAGATCACGACCACATTTGTTTTCATTCAGAGCTGATAGAACCGATTTTGACATAGCTAATGAACCAAAATTAGGCAATTTCGAAATTTCAACACCTATCGTTGTTAATTTATTTGTCGAATCCAAAATATCTGAAGAAAATGAAATTGATTAGGAAAACAAAACTGAATTTCTATGATCTAAGACTTGCTTAGTCTTCTTAATTCTTCTACTGCTGAAGTGATTGCTTGTGAAGTTGGTGCATCGGGTAAGTATTGTTTCAAATAGTCAAGTCCATTTTTTATTAAAGATTTTCTTAATGAAAATTCGGTATTAACCAAATCTGATTGACATATTTGTGGTTTTGGATATTTTTGCTCTTCAACTTTAAAATCATATAATGAATAATATTCGCCTGGTTTTGTTCGTCCAAGTCGACCTAGACGCTGTTTAATTGTTGACTCAGCTGCTCGAAGTTCCATTAAAGTTGTTTGTTTTTTGGTAGAATCATAAACAGGAATATTAATCTTGCCTGTATCAATAACATATTTCAATGATGGAAATGTAAGAGATGTTTCAGCAACAGTTGTGGAAAAAAATATACTTCCTTTTTCAATATTTCTTTGTTGATTAGTTGCCGATTGCGATTGAATCAATGGGAAAGCACTAATAGTTCCATGGCTAATTTCTTCTAAAAGACGACAACATTGATTTACTTCTGACACACTACTCACAAAGCATAATATTTGATCATATCGTTGTCTTTTTTTACCTAATTCTTGTACTAAATCTAATATATTTTCATTGGTTCGTTCACATTTAGTTACAGGATACAATGTTCCTAACATCGGCATAACAAATTCATCGACTTTTAACTGAGGTATTTGACGAAACAATTTCGGTACAGTTGAGTCTAATGTTGCTGATGAAATAATAATTTTGAGTTTAGATCTTATTTCAGGTTTTTCTGTTAGAAGACGAGCAAATAATGCCAGACAGAGATCGATGTCAACTGATCTTTCATGAACTTCGTCAAGAAAAAATACAATAGGCTTACTGCTATTGATTATATTTGTAATCAAGTGTTCATCATTTAATAACCGTTCTTTTAATAAACTATCTGTTAAATAAAGTATTCGACTATTGGTATACTGCTCAGCGCCATCAACGACCCACCCAGCAAGTTTCGATTCATCTCTATTGGTTGCCATAGTTTCATTTACACGTCTACACATTCTCGCACAAAGTAATCGACGAGGCTGAGTAACAATAGCTTTATCGTAACCGTTAGCAATCAGCAAGGCTGGTAGTAATGTCGATTTACCTAAAACGAATGAAAATTCGATTTGTAATTAATCCCATTGAATCCTCTAGATTGGAAAGTATAGAAAGTATTATCGTTCTATTGAAATTTTACTTATGAACCTTATAGTATCGACTCGAAATGAAAATGTGGCTGATTTCAATTGTAGTTATAAGTAAAATTCGGATGTAGATAGTATCGGAAGCGGAATAAATCAGATAGTTTAAAAACGAGAATCCGAAATCGTTCATTGAATTACTAGAATAAACTCGCTATTCTGTTTCGAATGGCATTAATTTACTTTGTTTTATAGCACTAGTAAACAACTATGCTCTGTGTTCTGCAAGTGGAGTTTTTTTTAGTATGCATGTGAGCCTTCTTCATATTCTATTATTATATATAATTTACCAGATCCATTTGGTGTAGCTATTGTAATGACTGTGGCTTGTTCAGTTTTCTCTAAGAATTCTTTTGATGACTCATACAGAGGGAGTTGTAGAAGGAAACATCGATAATACAACATGGTTCTTTGTAATAATTTCTGAATTTCCTTAAATTGTTCTAATGTAAATCCCACGTAGGTTGGCTTTGTCTTAAATTCTGTTCTTATTTTATTAATAAAATGATTCATAATTTCAAGAGATTGTTTTGATGGCTTCTTTTCAAATTTTAATTGTTGTAATGAAATATGTTCCTTGATGTATTCATCTAGAGTTTCACCTTTTAATATTTCTAATTCAGGTAGAAATTGTTTTTTTTTCGTATACATATCAGTTAATTTTCCTAATTGTGTGATTGCGGAAAAACTCGCATCTGTAATGCATTCTTCTACCATAAGTTTCGATTTTTGTAATATGTAATCATCATATAGTCTAACGAAATCCTCAATTTTGCTGCTAGCTAATTGTTGAAAACACTTGGTGTAATATTTCCAACTTGGTAAAGGACGAATTACTTGTGCCATTAGATTATTGATACTTTCTAATTTTGAATTTAATTGTTGTTGATAATAAACCCTAGCTGATCTAGTAGCGTCACATAAATCGTGTATTCGTTGTAGAACATTTTTGAATTCATCATGATGTAGTTGAGTTCCCGTTACTGATATACAATAAAGATCATTGTTTTCTCTGATAGCGATACTAGGTATTCCGAGGATAGAACTGTCCATTGGCTGTTTAGCCTTAAGATGATCTATAATAGACTGGGATTTGCTGAATAGAAAGGTATTGGCAATGATTGATTGAATATTATCATAATCCATCGCTATAATTTTATGAGCTGAAGTTTTTAATTTTTCTCCCTGAATTTTCTTATGGAGTAATTCTTGTTGAAGTTCTTCCAATAGTTTATTATTATTTTTTGATTTCTCTTTTTCAATTTCAACGTTCAACTCTTTCATTTCTGCTTCTAATCGCAAAGTAAGTTCAGCAACTTTTTGATCTCTTAAAAGAGCGTTCACTCTGTCAAGTATGCCAGAACGTCTGATTTGGTTACTTGTTTCGTCAACAAATTTCTGTAAAGAAATATTTGAATTTTCACGAATAATTCCAATCGTAGTAGGAGCAGTCACTAAATGAAAAGTAGGATTCACAGCCAAAATATCGTCGTTGAGATCAAGAACACTCCAAGTACCATTGTTTCTGAGCGGAAGCTAAAATTTTCGATAAAGAGTACTAAAACATTTTTTGATGGAAGTGTAAAATTTGATAGAACTTAAAAGCTAACGATGTTCACTTAAAACTTTAGATAAGTATTGTAGATGCAACACAATCACTCGGTTAGAATCTTAAACAATTCTACTAACTTACTCGATTATTTAAATCTGAATTCTCTACAACATCATCATCATCATCATCATCATCAATATCATTGTCAGCTTCATTCCTATTTCTTGTTTCAAAAACCGACCCTATTACTAAACCACTCTCGTCTTCATCATCTTGATTTTCTTTGTCATTCATTTCTTGTTGAACAATGTTTTTCATTTGTAAAGCTTCTTTCAAACGTTTTGTTGTTAAAGGAATGGGTTCTATGCTTGCTACCGGTTGAAAATTATCAACATATACAAGTTTTTGGTCAGGGTGTTCCGTTTTTGATACAAGTTTTGGAATCCATCGAATACAGCCAAAAATTGTCTTTTCATTATCTGAAAATTCAAATGACTTTAAATTGATTGTCAACTTATTACCAACGTGAGGTATATCAATGGAAATCATTTTGCGTCGATAATCCATGGCATCATCGAACAATGAACTTGTTTTATCATCACAATTATACCATGCATTTAATTGAAGCTTAAAAGCACTGTTAAATACGACTGGAAACTGTTGTATTTTCAATGATGCAGTGTTATCTTTATGTTTGTCTACTTGTTTATGTTGAATTAACATGATTTGCCAAATAGAATAACAATCAAAATTTAAAACACTAGAGCCTCGACAACGAATCCATGCCATATTTTTCTGTGGGTCTTGTCCATAATTTCCTGATCGCAAAAATTCAGTTATCGATACGCTATATAGACCTTTGGCTACTTTTAAATAAATTTGCTTTTGAAACTCTTCTGATGGTAATAAAGTCTTGTGTAATAGTGTCGCTTCGGTTAGTGTAAATTTATACCATTTCGGGTCTTGAAATGGTTTATATTCCCACATAGAATCTATGATTGGTCGTCGATCATCATTCATGATAGATTGGCATGGTAGATGTTCTGAACTTGCTGCAGAATAACCCATGATCAAGTAATCTTGAAAAAACTTTTTGATATCAGCATGATTTGTTCCATTACTTATTGGAGTTTCTATCGCCTGGTTTTGAATGAAATAATCAGCACCATGCTCAACTAAATATTGTACAATATTCAAATGATTGTTAAAACAAGCTCCATGAAGGGCGGTTGAACCTGCTGTTGGCCGTGGCGCGTAAGTTGTCACAGTCGCATCTAATGCAAAATCAACATCACGCAGATTTTGAGCATTAACAGAACAGTATGCTTCTTCAATCAAGTATTTCACAATATCTAAGTGATTATTTCGTGCAGCTGAATATAATAGTGTTGTTTCCCATAATCCCGGTTTATCTTTAAATGTTGGGTAGTCTTTAGTGAATTTTTTTACTACATCCAATTGACCATTATATGCAGCCGGATATGCTTCACACGATGCAAACAAACCTTTTAATTCAAGACTTAATGAATCCAACACACCCACGCTTAATGGCGAAAGAAATTTTCGTTGTTTCCGATCATAATGATATATATAAAGAAAATCTAGTAGATAATTTAAACATAATTTTGATAACTGTTCAAAATATTCATCCAATTTAACTTCGATATTTGTGGTTAACGTTTGTAAAAGTTCATTCTCTTCGTTGTTGAATGTGAATGTATAGATGTTGTTATTTAATTGAGAACCTTTTGCAACACTATCATATACAATATCAGTTCTTGATTGAGGTTGCCGTTGCCCATTTAGTGAGTTGAATTTTTCTAGACATTCTTCAACTAACTTAACAATACTTGTTAGGCATGCTTTTAATTGTTTTTCATCGTTACCCATATGTATCTATACAAAAGAAGTAACATAGTTTTGTTCGTTTATGATTAAAAACCTTCGTAAGAAAACAGATTGCCGTATCGCAATTTAATTGTCAATAATACATCGTTAATATGTTAGAATATTTAAAAAAATACGGTATTCAGATAAAAGTGAGAAGAAATCTGCAACGGTTTGTTTGTTATAGATTCATCAGCATCTGTACAGGCTCTTTCTGTGAAACTTAGGATGTCACTGTAGATGCAGTTAAAACGCCATCATAATATATAAATTTTTATAAATCCTGACTGAAAAAAGATCGATCTCAGTGCTATGTTTTTACTATATTTTAATATTTCAATGATTTGATATTCGCAACTAGTTAAGATAATGGGAGAAAAAGCAATTAAATGATAATCTATTTTAATTGTTATACATTTCACGGACAATGATACCTGCCTGCTTTCAATTTCAGATGGATTTACATATTTTTGCTCAGTAATTTACTCAAAGTGAAGTTTCTAATATTTCGTTTGTTGAAGTTAAAATTCGAATTATTTTTGATCTTAACGATACGACTGGCTTACGTTAGACACATTCTTCTTTCTCCAATAGAAAACCTTCGAGCTATTGTTTTTTCAAAGTATGAAAGAGAACACTACCTATGAGTGAGCAGAGGGACTGTTTATTTTTATTGATTGACGAAAAGCGAGATTATACGTAATTAACACCCTGTTTTGTGCTACACCAATCTGTTTTAACAAGCATAGACCAGCTCTTTCTACTAATAAGGCATGAATTATAAAAAGAAAATAATTGAAATACTAAATAAGCAATCTCTCCCTTCACAAATGACATTAAAATAACAGTTAAATAAAATGCTTACTTATAAATTAATGAAATTACTCCCGTGAATATATTTCATAAAACGATTACCTAGATTTACATGTTTCAATCGTTCAGTTGACGTTGATTTTATCTACCAGAAGCTCAAATCGGTGTACTCGAAAGAAAAAATCGTCTAAAACCTACTATATGGAAAAATAACCATAAAATTGTATGCGAAATTGACGAACATCTTGTCATGTATCTCTATAGAATAAAGATTCTCTTTTCGTTATAGCTAAGAAAGAGAAAAATGTTACCAGTCACTGGTAATTCGAAGTTTTCACTAACCCCCCCCCCACAATAAGAGACCCTGGGTTTTCTATTATGTTCCAGCGTAAAAATTTTCCAAGGGGTCTTGTACTAAGAACCGCATTTTTTCCTAATATTTAATTTTAAAGGTTTTCCAGAAAACGAAGGTGATTTTTAGGATCAGGATTTTTAAGGGTGTCATTATAATTGTGAACACATTCTCCTAATATTTCCAGCTTAAAATGCTAATAATCAGACGTATTTTGATGGAAAAGCGCTAATTAAAGTTCGTAATTAGCAAAAAATTAATTAAGGGGGGGTGGCGAGGGGNAAATTATCAACTATTAGAAGAATCATTATTCGTTTTAATCTTAATAATTATATGAAACTAACATTGCCGAATTAACTAAACATCGCAGGGGGGTTTGCTGCACAGGTTTATCTTTTTCCTTTATTTTGTCCACAAAATTATTATGCACTTGACTGTATTCTTCTTCTGTTTTTTGAAAGAACTATAAATACTAACGCTACATGTTTACTCAGTGTTTTTCCTCTCTCCACGATCTCATGGCAAATAAAGAAATACGATGAGTACTAATAATAATTGATAGTTTTGAAAAATAGATGAATTCATTTTAAGATTTGCAAAAAATATTCAAATTCGATAGCCATCTTGTAAATAATAGTGAGCGACTGAAAAAATCCTAGCCTGAAAATTTTCGCTTACCATTCAAACTCTTTACATAAGATAAAGTTGCTATTGAAAAAATTCATCTGAAAATGTTTGACTTCATTTTTCTTTCTTTTATTTATGCACTTGAGACTGTTGTTTCATCAGTTTCTTGTTCTACTGCAATTTTTGCATAAGCTTTTTTTTCCTATTATATTTTTTCTTCTCCACTAAAGCATTGTGCATCTACAACAACCACTTTTGCTCTTGAGATATTTCTTCGTTTCGGTGAAAAAAATAGTTTACTGTCTCGATCTCGACAACAATGTTTTAATTTGGTTACCAAAAGGAAAACTAAAATCTTTTAAATTTTGATGAATTTTATTGTCGCCAACAATGGCTTTTACCGATAGAATTCTTAACTGAACAATATTGAATCAAAGATGACCCATTATAAATATGGAAGTTTATTCTAAATAATTAGTTTATCAGAGAATCAATTTGTTACTTGGAAGCCAGTTCGTTGAATCACAACTTTTGAAATATGATTGACAAAATCTTAATGATTTTACAAAAGCAGTAGGCGGGGACCGCCTGAAATGCTGAAATTTGGCTATTGTTTCGAAGAGGTTAATAGTTTTTTACTACTTCTTTTTCTCATTTTGACGAAAAAGATGCATCTAAGAATCAGTATGAAGCATATTTCTTATACATTGTTTAGTCGTCAGAAAATAATACCGTACGTGTACTCGTTCATTTTATGTAGACGATGGTTTTTTTTATCACCTGTCAGCAATCGTATAAATAAACTGATCACGAACTCAAATGTCTACCATCGCAGTTGATTTGCTTGCCCTGACATATTAGATATCTTTTCAGATTTTTCCTGGGAACTCAATGAAGCATCAATTTAGGAAATATGAGTGGAATGCCTCTTGGTCGCCCTGCTTGACACCCACATTTGGAGGGGTACACTGTGTTCATCTCTCGCAGCATCCGCACACTTATGTTTCCTTCGCTAATTTTTGAGGAATCATATGGTCAGATGAGGCCTATTCATTGAATAGCTAATATACTAATTATTTAGTCTAACGTTATATGTTTGGAAAAAATGGACTAATTCGAAATTTCTATATAAAACATAATCTTTCCATTTCTGATACGCAAGAAACTCAAAGCTTCATCGAAAATGTACTATGTGCAAATGAAGCTCCAATCAAAAATATAATAGAAAGTTTATCACGATTGCTTTTTAATATTTCTCGTCGATATCGAACGCAATTGCATCTTTTCGAATATTGCGATTCCAATTTTTCTAAGAAAACACTTTTAACTATTTTTATATCAATAAGCCAGTATCAACTATTGAAAATATGCCAAAATAGTTTATAGAGTATAAAAAAAGACATTTTAACCTGCGATACTCGATAGGTCTAGCGTGATTTGGTTTCACATCGGCAAATGAATTTATTCTCAATCAAGGTTGTCTATTAAAATCAATTGAAATTTAATAGAACCGGCCTATGATCTGATGATAATGTTGCAATAGCTTGAATTTTATTTGATCCGTTAAATTTGAACTTTTTAATATAAAAATGTAGTCGATTCACTTCGATGGATTCAACGAATCGAAAGTGTAACCATTACTATTAGAAGGGCCGATAATTTTTCGGCAAACATCATCTACAAGCCATATATCATCAAATAATGAAAGTATAACATTTTTTATTGCATCATCAAATGGAATAGTATTATAATCACCTGTCATCAAAATGACATAGAGATTTTTACTAATGCTTATTATATTATCAGGCATCCATTGAACTATTTGTTTAGCTTAATTCAATTGTTGTGAACCTTTCACACCAATATCTAAATGAGTCGTGCCAAAATAGATAGATATGCCAATAAACGTTTTATAGACGATTGTTTCGATAGTATGAATATTCCATAGTCACCATTTTAAAAATTTCTCATTTTTTCAAAATGAAAATATTGAAAAAGTTGCATTTTATCATATCCAGCAATATATAACGTTTGATCTACTGAATGTCGCATTGTAAAATTATCAACTTCTTGTAACGCAATAAAATCAACTCCCAATTGATTTATGGTTTCAGTAGTTTATAGATTCTTATCTTATCATCATATATTTATGTTCGTAATTGTGTTTATCTTGCTTATAAAAATTATTTATATTTTAGACTATTGAATGTAAATTTTAATTCTGTAGATAATCAAATTAATCTATTACCATAGTGTTCAGCTATTTATTAGACAATGAAATATTTTCATGTAGTCTTGCTAGAATTGATTTCAGCTTCCAGCCAATCAGGTAGTAACTTCACTAAATGTTTGCAAATTTTAGCTTATTTTCGGTTTGTTAATTATTATCGTTAAAAACATTAATTTCGGTTCGAGAAAGTGTTTGAATAAGTCTATTTTTCACGTCTTCTGACTATGATGAATTTAAATAGTGAAATACTTATTTTTATTAGAGTATCATCTTTCACAATTCAGCCATTTCCCACGTCTCAGATTGATAGATTTACAGAAAATTGAAAGTACAATCACTTGAATTTTCAAGAACTTTGTGAAAAAAAGCTAACAAACGATTACTAGCTGTATAGAAATAATCTGAGTCGATATTTTTGTTCAAAAGTCATTAAATACTCTGCGAATAAGTAAGATGTATCTCATCAAGCAAAATAAAAATATGAATAAAAAGTATAGACTACTCATGATATCACGTTGTGAGTATGACTTGATGATATTGAAAACACAGATAGTTGTTGTTTTATGATAAAAGAAAAACGCACACGTTTTTCTCAACATCATTCTATGATTAATATGCGTATTTTACTTGCTGTCTTCACTTTGGCTATCTCCGTTACTCAGTGTACAATTATTACTCAAGTAGATTCAAATGGTCATGGCATTTTTGTAGTGAATACTAACACGACTTTTCTGCGTGGCACTAATTACATACGTTTATTGAATGCTAGTGTACATGTAACTTTTGAGCCTGATCTATACCCCCTTTGGGATATAGAAAATGCTATCAAACAAATGCATAACTACGGTTACAATTATATTCGTGTATTTCTTGATTGCCCCACTCTGTACCGTGGATTTAACCTTTCATCACCTGGAATTCCGATGAGATATACGAAAAATGTCATTGATTTTCTTCTTAGAGCATCAATTTATCATATAGCTGTAATGTTGACAGCGAGTTGGAATCCAGCCAACTATCAATCCATTGTTAATTCGTATCCTATACCTGCAAATGTAACCGGAATAAATATGATTATTTTTCATGCTGGGCAAGCTGCTGCAAAAGCTCAGTTTTTTCAAGATCTCTTAGAACAAATCCAGAAGACTAGCTTGCTAGCGTTCAACACGATATTTGCCATCGATATTTTTAATGAAATATCAGTTTCAGTACAACAACAGCCTTTTTCTTTAACAGATGGAATAGTATCATTTGATAATGTCTCATATAACATGGCTACAGGTAATGATCGTCAACAACTCGTCGATGTTGCTGGTAATATTTGGCTGAATACGATAGTCAGAGCCATAAAGTCTGTTACTCCGACTATTATGGTTACTGCTAGTTTATTTTCGCCGAATGCCGTAGGACATGATGGCTTTGATGGTGTGCAAACTCGTCCACCCGGCGCTGATGATCGATATCCATTGAGACCAGGCAGTCTTATAAATAGTCTCGCTGATTATATTGATTTACATGTATATTCTAGTGATCATACACGGGCGGAATTTGATGGGGCTGAACTAACTCAAGTCAAACCATTATTACTGGGCGAAACAGGTGCATTTAAAAACAATTATCCCAATGCATCTAGTGCTGGCCGAGCTGTACAGAATGTAATGATCGAAAGTGTAAATTATGGATTTACTGGGTGGGGTATTTGGACATGGGATACAATTGAACAGTTGAGTTTATGGACATTAGTAGACAATAACAACACAATGAATAATATTTTGGCACCAAGTGTTTGGCCTTTTGTGGGACCTAATAGAACGTCAACAGTCATGAGCAAGTATGGATCATAAATTGAATAATTACATCTTATCTTCAGCTTTCACATGAACTAACAATTCAAAGATTTTTTTTCTGTACAAAAATCTAACAAATACTAAAAAAATAAAAGATTTGATATTTACAGCCACTAGTAAGTGAATGAGAGACTGGGAGAAAATCATTTATATTTCTGTAAAATATATGAAATTCTATTGGTTAATATAATTTATGGTTTCGTGTGTGTTGGCTGCTTCCCAGGTGAATGATTCCGATAGTAGAATCCTATCGGACTCTTATCGGATATACAGCTGTTTCCAAAAAAACTTGCACAAAATTATTTTCTGTTTAAAAATTGTTTCTCCACCACTACAAATAACTGCAAACGTCATCTTTTGAGGGCTAAACCCTCGACAGATGTACTACATGCTGCATATATAGTAATGTAATTTATTTTCTTGTCGATACATATACATTCAATTATGTCATCGACCAGTAATTGGAAAAATCACCAAATTTCAATGTTACATTTTCGGAACTCGGGCATACGATCTGTTTCCCGTATTCATCGTGAAATAAACATTCCACTGAGAACTATCTATTACAATATTGACAAATTAAAAGAAGCAGGTTCACTTCCCAGGTGGATGAATCCGACAACGGATCTTACCGAATCCTATGGGATCCGACTTCCCGACAGAATCCGATAGGATTCCTGGACACGGACCTATTGTCGGTTCCGACAGAAAAGAAATCATTTTCTTATTCACGACCAAAGAAACATTTTGAGCCATCAGAGCGCAAGGATGATTCGTTAGAGTTAGATTCCGTTAAAATCCAACATCAGATCCGATTGGATCCAATACCAAGGGTCCGCCTGTAGATCCGTGCCCAGGAATTCCATAATATTTCGTCGGTTTTATTGAAACACATATGGTATTCAGTATATTCACTGCCTGATCCTTGTCGGAATCCGATAGGATCCTACTGTCGGAATGATTCTCCTGGGTTCAACATCGAGGTGAAAATGGTCGACCACGTGTCCGTGGTGGAATACCGAAAAAAGCTATCGGTCAATACATTCGACGTAACAATGCAATAATTCTTATCGAAATAATAGATAATTTATCCAAAAAGTACAATAAATCGGTATCGATATGGACAATTAGCAATCATCTTCATGAATTTAGTTATAAAAATGTTTTGCCTAAATCTGCTCATATGTTAACACCGAATGAAAAAGAAGGACGTGTGCAATGAGCTAAAAAGTATAAGAATGATGATTTCACTGATACAATATTTACAGGTGAATCTTCATTTCAGCTTTTTCGTAATACTGTTCGTCGATGGACAAAAAATCCTAATAAAGAATTAAAATGCTCACCTAAAAATTGTCAAAAAGCTCATATTTGGGGTTCAAATAAGTGTGAGGGGTTTATTAACCTGTCACACGTTTCGATGCAATCTCGATGGTCCATATTATGTTAGTATTCTTGACGATTATCTTCTTCCGGCTGCTAGGCGTAAGTAATGAAAGAAAACACGG